CAAAAAAGCGCTATAAAAAATAAAAGTTTAAGGAACTTTTATTTTTTATAAAAAAAAACATTTCATTTAATTTCAAGTTAAATATTAAATGAATATCCATAAAGGCTGGACCCACTCCAACAGCATGGCAAGCAATGAAACCCAACCGTTATTAGTGGAAATGGAAATGGGAAATTGGAAATTCCGTAGCTAGCGCTAGAGCAGCGACAAGTTAATTCACTTTGAGCTGCTGGCCCTTTTTTAATAGGTTAATCGCAATTTCCACCTGCAGCACAATGAAATAATGGACATTTTCTGCCTTTATATGGCCTGTCTCGGTGCCTTTGCCTCTGTGGCAGCACGCAAAGGGACCGCTTACACGCCCACTTCAAAAAGCACTTGAAATGTCATTGGACAAAAAAGAAAAGCACAACAAAAACAAAAGCTAGTAAAACTTTTTCATTTGCCACACGCTCGTTGCAGTTTGTTATTGCTTTCGAGCTCTGCGGTGTAAAAACAATTTTCTCAACCCGTGCCACATGGCGTATGCGTAATGTTTGCCAAAGCTCTCAATGGGCGAGTCTAAGAGACTTCGTGTGTGCGAGTGTGTGTGTGTGTGTGAGTATGTGTGTTTGCTGCCCAAAATGAGGTCATATTTTGGCGTCATCTTTCGGCTCAGTCTGCCAGCAAGATAAACAGACGCCAGCGGAGGACAATAAAACAGCAGCCAACAGCCAAATTGCGGGCAATTTTTTTTGGCAAGTTTTAGGGTCTTCGCTCAGTGTTTAATGTTGGCCGCTCCAACCTCCTCCATTGTGCATATACATATACATAAACACACAGACACACACACCTATATACAACTGCTTCAAAGGATTTAACGCCTCGTTGAATGCAATTCAGTTAATTCACATTTTTCTGCGCATTGGTTATAATTTTTATTTGGCTTACGAGTGGCCTTCCCTTTAAGGCGTGTGGGGGCGTGGCGAGGCAGTTTGTAAAGCAGCAGCAGCAGTTGAAAATGATGCAGAGGGAGTCAAGCTAAGGCGAAGGCAGTTACTACGCTTCGAATGCCCTGTAAAATATGATATGGACAGAGTATAATATATAAGACAGTTACTATGTTTCGAATACCCTGTAAAACGTGAATAATATATATATAAATGAATTTCATATATGTCCTGTATATCTTGGATATCTTTAGTAAACTCTTGTAAAAAATACTTTTATAGATTACTAGCATATCTTACAGTTGCGCATACTCTGTTAAAGTAAAGTATAGACTTTCATGTGATGCCAGGGTATCTTACACTACAACATACTCTAGAAGTCTATCTTTTTGTCAGTTATACATTAAATCTAACACATACTAAAGCTATTTATGTTTTCCAGGGTATCATGCAGTCGAGCATAGTACGTTTCAGCATACTCTCTAAACAGTGCTGCAATCAAATATGATGTGTAGCCAGAGTATGCTCTAGTACAGCATACTCTGCATGCGTTTCTAGGGTATCATGAAGTCTAGCAAGCTTTTTCAAATGTCTATATTGCTTGTTAACTGAAATTGTATGTAATATAATAATATAATAATTATGATGTGATATTTACAATTATTTAACCTCGAACTGCTCATTTACAATTAATGGGTATGTATTAGTCGAGCTTATTCAAAGTCTTTTGCAATTTAAGTACTTAAATTTTCACATTAAATGTTCTGAGTTGATTACTTTTTTAACTAAGTTTTGGTGACTTTGGTGTCTGCAGGGTATCTATAAGTCGTGCCTTATAGTTTTTATATTCATTTTCATTTGGCTTGCCTTTTAGATCTGCCCAGACTTTGTTGCATATATCCCACTGCAGCTGTAAACCTGGGACTTATCGAAGCTACGCTCGAGACACTTTATAAGCCTTAAGCAACACTGTTTTTTTACGACAACCAACACTGTATTGGTTTCTTTTTTTGTGTTTTTTATGATGATTGAAAAAAATTGATTCAGCACTTGCCCAGCGCTGTTTGTTTTTCCTATTTTCCTTTGCTTTTTCCTTTGCATTTTTCATGCAAAGGTGAGCGAAAGGTGAGCATTGAATAAACAATGCTGTGGCCCGCTGCGATTAGCGAGTTGAAACCATTTTTAAAATTGCAAACTGAACGCGTGCCATAGTAAATTAAAAATATATATATAAAGCCAACAAACGAGCAGTACTGACTGAATAATACTCTACAATATCTAAGGGAAATTAATTTTTGACTACTTTACTAATTTCTTTGATGACTCTCAAACTGTATGAAGTTATGCTATAACCACGCCTGTCAAACTGTGCTTGCAGATCAAGTCTAGCTCCCAGACATATATACAAAAAAAATCTATACTAATATACTCTGCTTTGCCGTGTAAGCAGAGTACAAATATGACTTGCAGCCGTTGTAAAGGGGCGGGGCAATGGGGGCTGTCTGGGAATAGCTGTGCAAAAGCAACAGCAGTTGCAACGAAATGTATGTTCCAGTGTGGCGAAGGGGGCGGTGGGCGTGGCTATATTGTCATGATAAAGCATCCAATGGTCCATGCTTGACTGCCCGAGCACTGTGAGTGTGTGGCTTGACCATTTGTTATCGAGTGAAAGCCAGGCACGCTCTCTGAATGCAGCTACAAGCACATACATATAGATAAATATATATAAATATATCTCTAGCTATGTATTTGATATTGATTTTCGGCTTAATTAGCGCGGAAATTATTAATTATCTCGATGCTGCTGTCTGCTCTCGATTTGAGTTTCCATGTTTGATGCGTCGGAAATCGAAAGGAATTGACTCAGAAAACTTTTGCTATAATAAATAAACTTCGCTCTTGGCTGACTTTATCTGCGGTTCTCTAATTACTCAACTAAAGTGCATTTCAGTTCTTTTTGGTCACTTTGCGGTTAGAGCAATTACATTGCTTCGTATACTCTATAGAGAAGTGAGGTTATGTTGAGCTGACAAGTTTTTTTGAGTTACCAAGAAAATTTCTTTAGCTTTTGTTAAAAGTTGAAGCGAAGACAAAAGACTTGAAAAATTAATCAAATTATTTTTTTCTTTACTAGAGAAAAGTGAGGTTGGGTTAACTTTGGACAAATATTAATGAAATAAAATGAAAAAATTAAATAACTAACAAATAGTCCTTTACTTTACTATTTTAAAAAATGCTTATCGATAACAATTATATATCGATTAAAAATATATATACTTTACTTCTAAGCCAGCGAAAGAGCATTTAAGAGAAAGTTTTTGAGAAACTAACTTTATCCTGTGATTGCTCCTTTTAAAACAATGTTTTACAAGTTTCCTCTTGTTGCAGTTGTACTTTCTCTATCTCTATCGCTCTATCCTTCTGGCCGCGTCTGGCTTTTTGGAAAAGTTTTTAATTGCAAAATGCCCATTTGTGCAGCATAGGCAGACAACAATGCCGCCCCCTTAGGCTAAATGTTGTCGTTGCCTCTGGACAAGTTTCTCGTAATTTGGGCATAATTATGACACAGCCAACATCTGTCATGGCTGCCACGGCACGCCTGGCTCCGCCTTTTCGCAATACTTATGCAATTTACATTTCCGACCGAAAACGAAAACTTTTTGCTACATTTAAGAACTTTAATTACACGCAAATGCCTTGCATTGTCAGCGGAAAATAAATAAAAGTAGAAAAACTTTTCTAGAAGTTGCAAAAGACGAACGAGCTTTAACATGCATTAGAGTTGCGTCGCTGCGTTCACAACAGGTTCTTTAAAAATGGCTACTGAACAACTACTGCTGTGTTAGCTGAACGCAACATGTAAGTTGTTCAGGAACTAGGCGTTCATTTGTTTGCTTGCTTGCTTCACTGCTCAACACTCTCGTATTGAACGAAAACTCTCCGCTCTAGCATGCGGGGTGGAGGCAGAGGATGAGCAGAACTTGCTGCCGCCATTGATAAAATTGCAATGCCAATTCCGGTCAGTAAACTTTCAATATAAAAAGTTTTTGTTGCTGTTGCTGTTCGGTGCATGTCGGTCGCGAATCAGCTTTACAGCTAAATCCAGTTACGCAAGTATTATATATACTAGATCGAATCTTAAAATATAACTTACAATTTTCTACAGTGTAATTTCTACACACTGCTTTAAGCCGTTTAAACGAACTTTGCCGTGATGTCTGCTGATGGGTATCGATGGCTAAATTGAAAATTTCGTTAAGCTGCGTAGCTTGTTGCAAGTGCATGCAACTCGTAGCATAACTCAATTAGCGCTTCATTGTTAGTTATTGTTGCATTTGCCTTGTAACTGAATTTATGCGCATTTTGTTCACGCTGCTTTGCACGCGGCTCGCTCGAAAGCGAATTCATCGTGTGGAAAGTGAAAATACATGCTAGCTCATGTTCAGGGCACTGTTACACACACACACAGGCATACTCACAAAGTTACATATACATGCACTCGTAATTGGAGCGAACTTAAAGTAATTCGTCAAAAACGCCCACAGTTGGTGGCCCTTGTAAATTTATTTGGCTTTGCGCTTTGTATAACTACTACCGCACGGCCGCACCTAGGTTTTTCTCTTCCTTTTTATATATTTTAGCAAAAAGCTAATGTGCCGCTAATTAGCTTGTGTGTAGCAGTTGGAAAAAAGAACTCCCAGCGGCTTGTTCACAATGGCACGCAGCACTGTACAAGTTTGTCAATTACGCCGCTTCATATGTCAAAGAACAGTAAAAAAATGAATTCGCCGCGGGTAACAATAATGCATGAGTAATAATTACTCAAAGGATCGATATAAGAATTTGCTGTAAATGAGTATGTGCAAGATGTGCCCAAGTAATTGTTATCGTTTATCGAAGAGTCTTACGCATTTCCGGCTTTATTTAAATGTGAACTTTTATTTTTACAAATCTAATTGATTGAAATATGTAATTCCTGACAAATCTGTGGGAAAACATATTATGAAGATCTTGAACAACTTTAATATGATTCTTTGATTTTCAAATCAAAATGTTTTTCTCTTTGCATAGGAATTGCAGCAGCCGGAAATGGTTAATGAGAATCGAGCGCCTAAGTTGGCTGGCTATGATTTCTATCATAGCGTGTTGGGCGCACCACGTTATGTGGTTGCACCAATGGTGGATCAAAGTGAATTGGCATGGCGCATGCTCTGCCGGCGTTATGGTGCCCAGCTCTGCTATTCACCCATGTATCATGCGAATCTGTTTGCCACTGATCTAAAGTATCGCAAGGATGCCCTGCAAACGTGTCCCGAGGATCGACCATTGATCATACAATTCTGTGGCAATGATCCACAGCAAATATTGGAGGCTGCTTTAGCTGCACAAGATCATTGCGATGCGGTGGACATTAATCTAGGCTGTCCACAGGCGATAGCCAAGCGAGGGCACTACGGCTCCTTTCTACAGGACGAATGGGAGCTGTTGACAGAGATTGGTAAATATTATATGGATACGGGGATATGGTAAATGGCTTAAATGTACCTCCATTGTAGTGCGAACGCTGCATGAGAAACTCTCGGTGCCGGTGACTTGTAAAATACGACGCTTCGAGGATCGGGAAAAGACAATTAAATACGCTAAAATGCTGGAGGCTGCCGGCTGTCAATTACTGACCGTGCACGGACGGACTCGAGAGCAGAAAGGACCTCTAACAGGCATCGCTGATTGGAGCTACATCAAGGATGTGCGACAGCATGTAAAGATACCCATGTTTGCCAATGGCAACATATTGGGTTTGGATGATGTGCATCGCTGTCTGGACGAAACGGGAGTTGATGGGGTTATGAGCGCTGAGGGTAATCTACATAATCCAGCCCTCTTTCAGGGCATTGCGCCACCTGTCTGGCAAATGGCCAAAGAGTACTTGGAACTTGTTGATCAATATCCCTGCCCCACCTCCTACATACGCGGGCATCTCTTCAAGCTCTTTCATCATATGTAAGCATAAAGCATTTCGACTTTAATAGATTTTAACCGCCTACCTTTTGCAGCATGAACATACGTTCCAATGCACAGCTGCGGGAACAGCTGGCAACGGGCAATCAGCTCACTCAGTTCCATGCCGTTGTGGCCAAAGTGCAAGAGAAATACGAACCATATCACACAGGCGTCACAAAGTATGAACCGGAGGAAATGGAAGTGAATATGAGTGCCGATGGTGGAGAGGAGGTAAGTGTAGCTATCGCATGTACGTCATTGACTAACTGACCATCTCTCTGTGCTTGCAGTTGCCCATGCTGCAGCCCTGGTTGTGCCAGCCCTATATACGTGCCTCGCCTGAATCGCACCGGCAGAAAATCGCTGAGAAACAACGCGAAGCCGTCGATCCGAATCGCACTAAGCGGCAGTATTTTGACAATGCTGGGAATGAAATATCGAGGAAGCGCATGAAGAAACTGAGACGCCGCCAGCGACGCCCTAACAAAACGGATGCCCAGTTCCAGCTGCGTCACGAACGGCACCTCGAGTATTGCGAACAGTGCGCCAATCCGTTGGGCTCCAAGTGTGAATTTCGTCTGTGCAGGATTTGCTGCCGGGACAAATGCTATGCGGATGATTGCGATTGTCCTGGACATGGCATACTCATAAAATCGCGACGTGCCAAGGCTAAACAGTTCGAAGCCCACTGCAGGCAGGAGAATAACAACGACTCCGTTCCCATCGTTCCAGCTGCGAATCGAACAGCTATCGATAGGGATGACCCAGCATTAGCTGATAATGTTTCTTGATATCGGAATTGGAATCATAGCGAATTTGTAACGTCTAATGTAAGAAATTGTGCGAGTTCTTGTTCCTATGTCTTGCTGTGCACATAAAAAATTCAAAATTTGAAAGAAAAAAATTAATAATTAAATGTTTCTCATTCACGCAATTAGTACTTAAGTATAAATGACATTCTATAGAAGATCGAGTTAAAATTATTTAATTTATTCTTATAAATATACAAGAATATGTTAACTTGAGGCTGAACTTTGTCTTTCTCCATAGATTCATTTAGTTATTAGTTAGATTTAAATTTAAATTAGTTCTTACAGCCGGTACTTTCGTTAAATTTGAATTGTGTTCATTTAGTATTTTGATTTTTGTCTTCGGTGAATTTTAGTAAATTTCTGTGCACGTGGTATTTTTTCAGTATTTCGATAAGTTACCGATAACGGAAGCACAAGCAGCTCTGTTAAGGAAGCAACGCTTCAGGAGCGTGAACTGGTTCCGCACCTCAATAATTTTGTGATCAATCAATCAACAATTTATGTCAAGACAAAAAAAGAATAACAAATGAATTTATTCATTAAATCATAAGAAACAGTGAATATCCAAATAGTTAAAATTATTGCAAACCAAGCCAACTATTAAGTGGTATTAACCCCCACGCAAGCAACGCACACATTAAATAGTTTTTTTCTTAACGTGGAACTAGACTTGGCATTTGCTGCTAAGAAACTAAAAATTAATGAAAACAATTTGCAAATGGATGAGAATAGGAGTTTTAAATGCAATGAGCCTGGATGTGGCAAGGCCTTTTGGTATAAGTCGGCATTGAAACGACATTTAAATACGCACAAAGAAAACGATCCAGATGCGCCAACTGTTTCATGGGGCTGCAGCAATTGCACCAAAATGTTCTCGACAATCGAGTCGCTGCGACGACATTTCAAGTAAATGATGCGATTAGCAGAAAAAGGTGGAAATACTAATCCATATTACTTGCAGAACTGCCCACGGCTCTGTCTATGTCTATCCCTGTCAATATGAAGGCTGCACCCAAATGTTTCAGCGCAAGGATAATTTGACTCGACATGCGGCCTCGCATGCGGACAATAAACATTATTGCGACACCTGCGGCAAGTCTTTTGCCCGCAAGGATGCGCTGACAAGGCATAAAGTGTGAGTGCAAAAACAGTTAGAGCTTTAACTGTTGTTGTTAAGAAACATTGTCAACTGGGTTAGCCAAAGCTCTGTTTAGGACACAGATATCCTAATAATATATATATATATATATAATTCTATAGTGTCAAGAATAGATCTATTGAATGCATACTAAACACTCTGAGAATGCACTGAACATGTATTGCGACTTTAGACTTCTCACGTTTCGTTAAAGTCTAAGAAGAAGAGGAAAGATGAGATGGCATGGAAGGAAAGAAGATCAAAAATCAGGAAACAAGATGAAACGAGAGAATAACAGGCAAAATAAGGCGTGGCTGAACCCATAAAATATATATGTTCTTAATCGGGCCAACAAACTACAAAAGTTAGGAGACTTGATTGTTCGGGGTATCATATAGCCGAGCACTCCCAACTAGAGTGCCATCAAAATGTTTCTAAAGTAACAGCATATCTCATAGTCGCGCACTTCCAACCAGAAGGCTATGAACTTGTTTGTGAAGTAATATTGTACATTGCCCGTTAAAGCCCTAAATTCATTGTTAACATATCCTATAAGCTATATTCATCTAAGTCATTGCCTTTCTCTTCTATAGAATTCACACGCGGCAGGCGCAGCTGAAAGCCGCTGAAAGTCCTGACAATCCAAGCTCGAGACAAGGTCAAGATAGATCGAATTCCAACTCGTCCTCTATGCTCGTAAAGCGCCGATCTGTGGGCGTCTCGGTGTGAAAGTAAAGAGTAAAATGTAAGTTAAGATAATGTTATACTTTGACAATTTCACATATTAGATACACTTACAGGTTGGCATGAGCTCTTGGAAAAGAAGAAAGTTAAACAGCATTTGAAATAAAAGTTGTTACTTATCCGAAAATGATAGTTGATGCTAAAGTTTCGATGGGACTTAGGTTTGGGTAAATATGCTCATAAAAAGAACTAAAACAAATATAATAACATTTCTTAACCATTGTAAAAAACCACGTTCTTATTATTAAGTTCAAACTTTATAAATAATATTTAAATTGTAAGCAAATGTTATTCTATCCATGCAAAGTATGCGGACGACCGATAACTGGATTTTGGGAAATTTCCTCGCATTTGTGGAAAGTTGGTGGAAAACGTGGATATACCTATGAATTATATTATAATTTATGAATTTAAAATTTTCATTTAGAGTAAGTTGAAACAACAATTGAACTTAACGAATGAAAAAGTTCGTGACTATCGTTCATTACGTTTCGATTAATAATTGCATAAATATCGTTTATACCAATTACAAATTAAAACCACTAACTGCATTAAAACAATTTAAAAATCATTTTTCTTAATAAATGGTATAAAATTAAACTTAAACCATGGTGACATAAATCCTTTAAAAACGAATTAATCATTTATCGATGTGGCAAATCAAAGCTTTAATTGTCGCTTCGTACGTTGCCCACAATTCGATTTTCACTATTTGCCATCCCGGAAGAGTTTCAATGTATCGTATTTAATTACAATTTTCATATTAACTTGATCAAAATCTAAATGGAAATAAATATTCATTCTGAATCAATATTGCATCAATTTAAATTTAGCGCCAAGAATATCTTATTTCCTGTACGATATTAAAAACATCGATAACTTCTTGTCAGCAGCTCTGGTTGTAGGCACGTTTTGCGGCTGCGGCTGTTGCTTGAACAAAAAATGGAGCAAACAAATGGATTTTACGATTTTTGCATACCCTACAACAAAGATGACAAGGTTTTGCGTGGTTTACTCAACGAATTGGTCGAGTTGGGCTATAAGACGATAGCAATTGAACAGAGCTTTGATCACAGCAAGAAGGAGCCTGGCAAACGTGGTTCCGAAATGTTTCCCGAGCCCCACAACATAGAAAATATACGCCAGGAGTTTGCCAATAAGTTAAAGATATTGCAGCGAATAACTATACTATATGTGGATGTGAATGTGTCGCACGCAATGGTAAGCAAATAGATGAAATTAATATTAACTTAAATAACCAAAATGTCTTAGGGCGTTTCGTTAAATCTGCGCAAGTTTAATCTAATTGCTGGACAACCCAAAACGGAGGCAGCGCTAACTGTAAGTAGATCAGCTGCATGTTAAAGTTTGCTTGCATTCTTTACATACATTTTCTCTACTTTTCACATGCCGCAAATATTTCCATGCAAATTTATAGGCTTCACAATTTTTAATCGATAAGCTTTGTTTACATATTGATGAATCGATCATTAATTTATGCAAACATTTTCTAAGCCGCATAACGATTATTTTAAGCTGCATTAGAAATTACTATTCAAAATCAAAATATTACTAAATTGAATTAAAAAATGAAAAATATCGATAAGACTTCAGATAAAGTGTCATCCCTATTTTTTGAAGCACAGCTGATTAATAAAAGCACAACGCATCCGACGCCTGGAAAGCGTTTGAACTTTTGAAACGTAAATAGAGTAGAACAGGTATAGAAAGCACAAAACACATTACATGAAAATCTAGTTTAAAACCAAATTTTAATATCATTTAATATTTGGATTAATCATTACAGCACTGCTGCACCTCTTTTAATGGCGATATCATTACCTTTGATCCAACTGCCGGCTCACGTCTGCTTGTCCAGCGTAAACCCTATCTCATTGCAGTGAGAAGAGGCATGTACTTTGAGATAAAATACTCGCCCGCTATAGCAGACTCTAATAATCGCAAGGATATGATTAAGGTGGCACAGAACTACTGCACCAAAGGCAAATCAAGAAATATTATCTTCAGTAGTGGTGCATTACACGAATTCCAACTACGCGGACCATACGATGTGGCCAATCTGTAAGCGTGAATTATGTATACCCTGTACAGTGAAAACTCGTCATGGTTTAACACCAAACAATGGTACAGTAGTATATGTTTATCCAATCTGTTGCAAAACTTATAGTCAGTTTTCTAAAGCAATATATGTTTTAAAGATATTACTTGTCCACTTCAGAGAGTCTTCACTGTACACAGATTTTATATATTCCTTAAAATATATTATATATATATATATATTATATATTACCCTCAATCTGTTTGCCAAGCATGCAAGTCTTCCATATTTAACACTATATATACCCTATCTTTTTACAGGTCCTATATATTTGGACTATCTGAGAATCAAGGCAAAAATGCAATCGATCGGTTTTGTCGGCAACTTTTCCTACGCGCCGAATCGAGACGTTTGGGGAAAACAATTATGTTTGTTAAAGGTAATGGACCAATTGTATTCTCCGACAGTTCCGATGAGAATCAAAGTGACCACGATGTGCCTGATGAAATGGATGCTTTAGTTAAGGAAACAACAAGCGAAGAAGAACCAGAAAGAGAGTGTAGTCAAGCCAATAAAAGACTGAAAGTAGCATAAATAAAACATATTACTTTTTATTACAAACAATTCGTATAATGGAAGAAGGCCATTTTAAAAATATGGAAAATATCTATAAAATTCTCGAAGCTGTAAAATTTATTCTCGAATTTCAAATCGCCTACGGTCCTACATAGTGCGCGCACTTTGAAACGCAGTTATCGTATCGATAGTATGCTATCGAAAACGATAGTAAACTTTGTCCGACTATTTTTGGATTTTACAATGTACAGATTTGTGATACACAATGAAAATATGGAATATAATTAGAATAATCGTTAATCTTATATATTCTGTTCTATACACACAACAATTTGCTCACAGGTAGCACGTATTTTCGAGTGCATGTTAGTGCAATTAATCGCTACTTTAAAAATACTTGATATCAATATGCGCCTAGCACATATCGGTCATCCCTAATCGCTGCTAAACAAAATGGAGGTCTTTGATGTGGTGCGTACATGTCTGACAAAGTGCTGCTAAAAATTTGCGTAAAACGACAAAAATAAATTGATTAATTAATTAAATGTAACAGCAAAATGCAAATAAAGTTGCCGGCAACAATTTGCGCTAAAAACGAAACGAGTATTGAGCGTATTTCAAATGTTATATGATTTTCAAAGTCGACGATACGAAAACCAGACACTCGAACGAAGAAAAAAATGTGAAAGAAGTAGAGAGCGAGAGTACAAGACGACGGCGACAACGACAACCCAAACGACGAGAAAAACGGCAAAGAAATATGTATTTCGCGAGACGACGACCGCAGCAGCAGCAGCCGCAGTCGCAGTCAACGTTCAATTGTTTTTTCCGAATTATGGCCAAGTGCATGTGTATATATATGTATATATATGTGTGTGTGTATATGTGTTAATTAATTGGCATAGCTAGACAAAAAAATTATAAATCAAAGTAAAATGAATATATATTTTTATATATATGCAGTTCAAAGCGTGAATTAAAATGCGTTCGCAATGAAGTGGCTTCTTCAGCGTATTTAAAATTTTTTCGTTACCTTTTTGTATAATTAAAAATGGACATCGCTATCTGTCACTGTGTGAGTTTTGTGCAGTTGTCTGTATATACACGCATGCATGTGTGTGAGTGAATGTGATGGCGATGCTCGATTTTCGCCTGATGATGATGTTTGATTATAATAATGATTGCTGCCTCCCTGACTTTTTGTCTTTCTGTGCATATGCATGTGAGTGTGACTGTGTGTGTTCGTTTACGCTGCTTCGGCGAATAATTTATTTGTGTGGGTGTGGGTGGCGCCGCTTAATTTTATTTAATTTAGTTTTGCATTTCTAATTTCTTGTTATTTTACTTTTGAGACAAAAAAAATTGATAATTGATGCCGCTGCAGCTCTGCCGCGACAAAGCAACGCAGCTAAGCAGCAGCGTGCGGCGCCTTGTCAATGATTTTCGCCCATTTTCACAGTTATTTGGTGGGCTCTTGGCATGTGTGTGTGTAAGTGCGACTGCAATAAAATGTCTTATATTTGTGCTTGTAATTATTTGCCGTGGCGAGTTCGCCATTTATATTTTCATTTCTTTGTGCCCGCTGCTTCTTGCTACATTTGTTTTTGTATCTTAACTATTTTTGTTGTATTTGGTGAGTGGCGTGTGTCCCGCGTTGATTTTGCAAGCACAAAAACCGTTTTTCGCAGCCAGCATACATTTTAAATGTGTATGTATTGGTCTCTCGCTGCTGCAGCGTTGCCACACAATCGCATGCAGATGCACACACCTGTGCAAATGTGCTTGCTTGTTCGAGTCGTCGTTTTCGTGTCGCATGTAGTTCGGCTGCTGCGCGCCCCCGCTGCGTACATTTTGCGTGATGTTGTTCCTTGGGCTCTATTCATATTTCGTGCTTCGAGTAATAAGTGAGTGAGCTAGTGTGTATGTGTAAGTGCGTCCCTCATATACTGTGTGTGTGTATTTTCACTGATTTACGCGTTTGCACAGTTGCAGGATAAACAGACAACATCTGCATGCAACGGTATCCATTTAGCCCATATGTGTGTATGTGTGCGCTTGTGTGCAATGACAAAGCAGAATTGTTGCCGGCCCTTAATATGGCCTTTGCATTGTATTTTCTACATTTGATGTGTCTTGTCTCTGTCGCTGTTTGTCATTTGTCTACCTCCTTTGCGCACACACACGCATAGGCTAGCAGCAGCCACACGTTTTTCTAGCCGGGGCACTCGCTGTTTATGTTCGCGCGCTCTCTCTCGCACTACGCGCAATTGATGAGAGCGTAAATTTTCATTGCGCTCACGGGCGCCATCATCAAGCAGTGCTGCCAATTTCGCTTATTTAACGCCAAAATCTGACTGACGAGCGATATAAATGTAAGATTAAACACGATGCGCCAATTACGGCTAGCTTTCAAGTTTAACAATTTTATTTTGTCAAATATAAATTTAATACATGCACGGCACGCGTATATTGCATATATTACAAATTGAACGCTCAGAACATGTCAAGTATATGTTACCTTTGGGGTTAGTCCAATTAAAGAGTGGCTCTTTTGCCACCAAAACTAGCCTTTTTTGTTTTGTCTTCTGACAAGTTGGCAACACTGATGACAGCAGCTATTGCAGCAGTCTCGTCGTCTGTGGCGGCTGTAACAAAAATTTTTTTCTTCATGACTTCTTTTTAGCTGATTCTGCCTTTGCCCCAATCAGTTGCCACGGCTGCTTTTCCTTTTCCAATTACACAAACGTTTTCACGTCTGCCTCTCATACGTACATATGTACGCCTATTATTTTTTCAGCAATATCTATCGATTTCTTTGTGTTTGGCTCTGGCAACGGTGACAGAATGCCGGCCCCAATAGCCGAGTGCTGTGCGTATATCATGTTTAATTGTAATTATCGCGCGTGAGTGTGTGTGTGTGCGAGTGATTGTATTTGTGTGTGTGAGCTATTTGCTTAAGTCACAGCAGCAGCAACACAAAGAAGAAGCAGCAGCAATGGGCAGCTTCAGCTCAGTCGTTGCGCTTTTGTAGTTTTCGCCGCGTCCGTTTCTGTTACTACTTCTACTTCTGCTATTGCCGTCGTTTTTTCTTTCTCTTCTTTTCGCTTTGTTATTGTTGTAAATGTTGTTGGTGCAATTGTGCTACAATTATTATTTCGCATGTGTTGCTTCGTATGTGTATCTACACTCGAATTAGCATTGTTGTTCTTGTTGTTGCCATTCGCATTCGCCATCCGTCATTGTTCGTCATCATTCACATTTCAAAGTTGTCGATGTCGCGTAAAAGGCAAATGGCGCTGCATGCATAACTATCGATATGTTCGACGCCGCGCTCTGTCAATCGGGCAAACAAAAAAAAACCAGAAACGAATGCATAATCAAAAAGTATTCAATGTGAACTACAAAGCAATAAACACGCAAAAAGTCTAACGGATTAGCAGCCCCCAAAAGCAAAGAGGTGAGTGAAACAGCAGATATACAACTATACTAATATATATACACGTACATATATAAATATATACATATATACAAATAGCCGATACCTAGGCGCGAGTACTTTTTATATTATAATTATAGTTAATTAAGTTGGGTGCGGTAATGAAATTTCAAATGCGAATGCTATGCATAGACGAAACGTGAAATTTCGAGAAATTTACAACAATGGCAAGGCAGAAAATGCTTTTTAGAAATAATTATGTATCTTTAACCAAAAGCAGATACACACAAGCACAAGCACAGACACACATACACAAGCACAAGGCGGCCGTTGCCAGCAGTCAGTCACTCAGCCAGCAAATAAAAATGAACGAGCAAACCCACACACAGCCACACGAATTGAGCGAAAAACGAACGCACACTCACGTACCGACAAAGCTGAAATAATTTCAATCAACTCTTTGCTTGGACAGAAGACCAAAAAAAAATAATGTAGTAAAAAAAGAATAATAAAATAAACGTCACACGCGCCCCCAAACAACGTGATACAACAATAACAACGACTGCATCTGAGAGTTGGAGAGCGAGAGCGAGAGCGAGGGTGAGAGAGATAGATAGTAAAAGAAGAGAGCAAAGGCCGGCCTGGCATTTGAGTTTTTGGGCATTTCTGCTGCGGCGAAAAATTAAAGTAATAAAACTACAACGCGCTTTGCTTGACGTGCAAATGAGAACGACGGCGATGATGACGTCGAATCACTTGGACTATGGCGACAACGGCATAAACTGAAGCAAACAATTCATCGAAGCACGGCAAGAAGAGCACAACGACACACACACATACATTTACACTCGACACTCATGCATGACCGGTCGTCGTTCGCGAGAGCCAAAACGGCAAATGGAGAGCGCGAATGGATGGATGAAAGGCAGCAGAAGCAGTAGGCAGGCAGGCGGCGATCCAAAGCCAAAGCATATCATCCATCCAAAACCGAATCAAAACCGACCAAACAACAAGCAAAACATATGAACGACGACGACCCCAACGCACCAACACACAAACATACGCATACCCATTCGCAGGCAAATACACGCGCAGCCCATGCCCATGACAGAGCACAGATACAATACTCACACACATACACACTCATACTTATACGCGCGCGTACTTAAACGATATGCGAATAAAATAGCAACACCAACAACAACAAGAGCAAACAACATACCAACGGCAGCCGCCGCCGCAGCAGGGCAACTATGCGGCGAATTTGCACGAATCATGCGAATCTCCAATACTCATACACACACAGCTACTCTTATACACCCATACACCCATACACATGCACATGCATACTTAATACGTGTTTTGTACTTGTCGCCGTCTTCGTCATCATCGCTGTCGCTGGCCATTCTCGCCATCATGGCTGCTGCTGCTCTACACACGCTTTTTGTTGTATCTACGCGACGCGCGTTCGTTACATTTCACAGTCGGTCGCAGGCGTTTTGCCAGATTTCGCTTTTCAACCCCCCGCCTCCGCTTTCATACTACCACCACCACCCAACTTATCAAACTAACAAGCATTCACAGTAACAACAACTACAACAGCAACAATTTCTTCTACCAACTCCAAAAAGTAATCGTCTCGTCTATTGTGCCCTGCTTTTCGTTCAGTTCATTCGCATTTTTGTTTTGACTGCTCTTGTCAACTGGTCGTCTCTTTTCAACACTCATTCTATACGAAAGCCGCCGCTGACGCCGCAGTCTGTCGTTCAGTCGCCTCCAACATTGCCGGCCATCTGTCTAACATGAGGCTGGCGCCTCAGTTAGCGTCGCTGCTCGCTCAGTCTCTGCCGCCAAAGGCCGGCACACGTTGTTGCTGTTGCTCCAAACCACCCCAACCCACCTCTGCCGTCGCCACTGCTCATTCTGTTCGGCCTGTGCTATCGGCTGTGTGTGGCTGTGGCAGCACGTGATATACTCGCTTTGCTTTTGTAATTTCGCTTTTGGCTGACTCTTTAGCGCACGCTATGCTTTTACCAGACGTTCTTGTTGTTGTTATTTTTTTCACTTGTTGGGCTGTTTTTTCTTTTTCTTCTTTGTTTTCTTCTTTTTACTCGCCGCTATTGTGCTCTGTTTCTGCTCTCTCGCTCTCTCTCTTGTCAGCCGGCGCTCAGCTAACATGCTCTCTTCCATTACCTCTCGTTCGCGCGTTCTCTCGCTCTCTCTCGTTTCGCAGTATAGCGCTCTCTTGTGTTTGCAAGTTTGTTTCAGCTCGGATGTGTTTGGTGTTCTTGTTGTTATTGCATACACAATGGCACTATCCGGTTTAGGTCCAGGTGCAAATTTTATACAACAGTTTAACTCGATAATCGGGTCAGGCTATGGCCATTTGTTCTACACGTTTTTTTCTTTTTCGTATTATTTCGGCAAATTCTAGCGGGAAACATGGCGTCAAATTTTTTGGTTTTTATATTTCTTGCTCTATTCCTGGCCTTTTCTTGAAAGAATTGCAACGTCAGCAGTCGGTGTTGCCACCCAATTATTGGTCGGTTAGTTGGTTGGTGCCCAGGCACGTCATAAATGCACCGTTACATATTCAAAAAGCTGCGACGTGGTGTAATTTATGTTGCTGTATTTGCTGCTCTTTGGCTCAACCAAAATAAGACGAGAAAAAACTGTGTGTGGCTGTAACTTTACCTATTTTATTACCATTTTTATGTATGCATGTTTTCATGTGTGTGTGTGTGAGCGTGTGTGTGCGCAGCACCCATCATCTGCCTCTTTGGCTGACTGGCTGCTGTTGCTGCTGCTGCTTGTTGTTGCTTTTCTTACAAAAACCAACTGTACTTTTTAGTTACTGTTAGTGCCCGGCGTACACGCCAAAAGCCACTTGACTACTTGACTTGATTGCCATTAGAGAGCAATATGTACACACATATACATACATATGTACATATGTATGAGGCGCATTTCTCTCCATTCTACTGGAATGACACAACAAACAAACACTCTGCACATTCCATTCTCATGCCATTATTATTTATTATGGGTCAAATGTTGGTTACATTTCAAAACACGAATGCCGCAAGCTTTAAGCCAAAGCCAAAGCTAAGCTTTAACTACACATAAAAAGTTTTTTGTTTCTTTTATTTTTATTATTTTTGGTAAAGGTGAATGAACTTTAGTTGGCTGTGCTCTCGCATTGTTGTTTTGGCGTCTGTTGCAAAATGTTTAATCATATTCCGCGTTTTTATTGCTAGTAGCTGTTGTTGTTGTTGATTTTTAAAGTTTCTTCAATTGCTGCTTATGCTTTAAGCTGCTCTTCGCTAATTGAGATCAACATTTGATTTACATTTGCTTTAGATATCGATAACAACCACAATTTTATTATCGATGGTTGACAATTTGAGCACTTGTAAAACCGTTGAGCGAACACTCGACGCAAATGAAATGCCCCGCAATAAAAATAAAACAGAGGCAAAGCTAATGCTGCTGCCTGCGTCTCCTCTGCCTCTGCCTGCCAGCCTGCCAGCCTGCCATCTAACAACAACAACAAGAAAAAGAAAAAGTAGAAGAAGCAGCGCGTGTCGCGTCGCGGCTGCGTCGGGTCAGCAGCGACGTTTGTCGTCACCAAGAGTTGGACACAGAAATTTGCTTGTCTATTATCACCTTTAATCGATTTTTCGCTTATTTAAAACAAAAGTACAGTTGTGCGCGCATAGCCGCAAATACACACACATAATTTCACAAAAAAAATGGTTTTCAGATGCTTTGTTGTTGTTGCTTTACATATTACTATTGCTCTTAGTTTATTGTTTTTGCATTTACTTGGCGACGCTAAAAACGTAGCAAAAGAAGAGGCAAAAAAAATTTGAAACGTAAACTCAATGACATATACATGTACACATACATGCATATAGACATACATAGCTATCTACTAGATACAAATTTTGCGCACAGACACACATTCACACACACAAGTAGCTCGACTAATAATAATGGAAGAAAAAAAGCTGAAACTAAATAAATAAATAGCTGAAATTGCAAAAGCAAAATGTAATTGATTACAAACAACAACAACAAACAACTACGACTGACTAAATGATTGCCCAATGAGCGCGAGCGCGAAGAAGTCAAGAGAGGGTAAAAGAGGAGGAGGTAGAGCTGGTGCTGTACGAGAAGGAGGAGGCGCAGGCATTTGGTAGTGGGAGAGTGAGCTGAAGGCATGGGCTAAGCGCGCTTAGCGCTCATGTCATGCACTCTACATAAGTTTTCTGATGCATGTGTATATGTGTGCGATGGCTGTTGATATTTGTATATGTGCATTCGTGTGTAAATGTGTGTGTGTGTGAGTTAGTGTTGCCACTGTGGTTGGCTGACTGACTGTCTGGCAAGCAAAATATGTGCGCACGTATTTATAACAGTACATACGGAGCGCAATTTGGTACCTCTATGTGTGTGTGAGATTGTTTGTTTGACTTGCTAACTGCATATTTTGCACAGTGGTTGCTTGCTAATTTATATGTTAAAATTGTAAAATGACAATAATATTTCAATCAATCCAATGTAATTAAATAAATATTTCTTAAATTATTTTCTAAGTGAAATACAATTTTTTGTTTGCATAATTTCTTCACAATATACACAGATAATATATATTCACACCAGTTTCATTAACTAGCAACCACTGTAGCTTAGAGTGCGTTTGACTTGCTTGCATATCTCTCGTATATACTATTCCGTTAACTGTAGTTTTGTCTCGCTGTATCTCTCCACTTGGCATACACTTTCCATTTGCACATACACACACGAAAAACGCGCACACACACATACACAATTGTACAGATGCCTCGCTCCTTTTGGCTGGCTGCTGTTTGCAACATTTGCATATCTTTTGGGCATTGCTGCTCAACCCCTCAAAAAAAGCGCTGCTCAACGGGCAACACCCGCATTACCTTTTTTTGTGCTTTATTTTATGATGTTGTTGCTTTATTTTTTTTCATGCTTTTTGCTGCTACTGCGCTGCTACTTTAGGTTGCTTTTTTTTTTGGGGCTAAACCTTTGCAGACAATGCGAAAAATCGATAGAGTTGGCATTGTTTTTTCTCACTGCAAAGATGTCGCCACCACCAACACAACAACAACGAAATCATATCAAAAAGATTTGGGCGGATGGGGGCTTTGAAGCGAACGGCTAGTCTTAATCCACGCCTCATTAATTGCCAACACTCTTCAGTTCCCTTTTTGTCCCCTTTTCCAACACTTTTCACAGCTCAGTTTTGCAGCTTCTTTTGTTATGTCTTACATCTTTGAGGGATGGTATTTTGGGTACAGCCTAGCGTCTAAGATTCACAAGATATTTTAACCAATGTGACAAAGCACTCAAATGTTTAGGGGGTCAAACTGTACGTTGTATGTGTAAATAATAAAATCCATAAGCGTATAGCTTTTCCCCTTAAAAGTTGAAGTGAAGACAACAAGAAAATTAATGCAATATAACAATCAAGAATTATGTTATATTTAAATATTCCGCAAAATATATAGTTCCAACTATATCTCTAAGATTAGATTAATAATATGTAAACATACGTATATAATTTATATACAGTATATATATCAGTTAAATACTTCTAAAAAAAATTTACTCATTAACATATTTATCTTTCTATTTTCATTACAGATTCTATATTAAAAGAAATACGCTCAATATATATAAAGAAACAACCGTTGATTTACCGTTTTACGCAAAAGTTTAGGCGTTAGGCACTTTTAGGTTATGTTATCGTGATTTTTTTTATATACGTATCTATAATCGAACATTTTTGGTTATCTCTACAGCTGTGAGCGAATGTTTCACTGCGAATATGTCAAAGGTCGGCCATGAAGTGTGCGAAACAACAAAAAGGACAAACACAATTGTGTATACACTATAAAAAGAAAGAAAATATAATAACATATATAAATATATATATATAAATATCTATAATTATAACGGAAGACGTTCCACAACAAATATTAAAAGCTGTAATTAAGTTTAGTAGTTAGAAAACAAACTTATAAAAAAAGAAGAAGAAGAAAAACCCGACCAAAACTTCAGTTGACTTTTAGACAGAGGTTTTTCTCACAGTGCGTTGTGGTTAAATGAGTCAACGTCAACGTCATCGCAGCAGAACGCACCACAACCTGCGAGACCATAGACTCCCCCCCAACACTACCCCCTCCAACAACAAGTATAGCCTTGCCAACACATTTTTGACAACGGCCACGCGCAGAGATCGGCATCAAAATTAAGCCAATCGACGACCAAACTTAAAACGCAGCGTTGCGTCCTTTGACGCACGTAACGGGACATTTCTGTGTGCGCTGCGTTTCAAAAATCTGATGGATGGAAATGCACAAAATATGTTTCACGGCAATCATCAAGGGTGAGTTTTTAATCGCCTTTTTACACCCTCTCTCAATATGTATATTGGAGCTAGCAAATGGAATTTCTTAGTTTTAATAATAGGGTATATTAGTTATATATTTAATATAAATATTTTTTAATTTTTAGTGTTTTTTTTTATTAAAATTTGTTTAATAATTATCATGATAATAATGTGATAAGGATTATTTAATGATCCACTGTTATAATTATGATTGTGCTAATGATAATGCTGAAAATATGTAGAAAATGATGCTAATGATAATTAAGAGAGTAATTTTGTAATAATGATGTTAATAAGTCTGGGTATTAAAATAATCGTCATGATGATGATAGTGATAATGGTGATGATAATGAATCTGTTCATGATAATAATTATATTTTAAAATTATCATAATTATTATGAATATGAATATAAGAACAATTACGTTAATTATGATTGCAAAATTAATTAGTTAGTTTTTATTAATTTTATTTTGACTTCATATATTAATGTGTATCGGCTGAATAATATCATTAATTAATAACATATATATAATATAATCGCTCTAAACATCTCTCTCACATTTCACCATCTTAAACTAATTCAATCATTATCATTTCATTATCCGCTTTTCAGAGATCCCTATTACCGTTATGATGCGGCCGCCGCAGCAGCCGTTGCGGCAGCGGCAAATCCTCGAGCCATGGGCCCACCCGGTGGCTACCCGCCGCGTCATCGAGCGCCGCATCCGCTACAGCAACAGCCACAATATCCATCGTACCAGCCAACGGCGGAGAATCTCTACGGGCTGGGGCCCACCGATCAGCATGCGGCCATGGGCGTCGGCATGGCTGATCTAAGCGGTTGGGGTGCAGCGCCCTCGGTGCCGGGCCAAGCGGCAGCATATCCCGGTGCCGGCCTAGGCGCCTACGGACATCCGCAGGCAGCGCCGCCGACGCAGCAGCAGCGTCAAAGCAATGCCAGCGCCTATCGTCAACATATGCCCGCCTATGGACAGCAGGAGCAACAGAAGCTGGTGCCGTATGGAGCACAGCAGAATATGATGGGTGCACTGGGTGCCAGTGGCTATGGCAGCTTGGCACCACAGCAACAGCAGCAGCAGCAACAACAGCAACAGCCACCCACGCCACAGCAACAGCAGCAGCAGCAACAACAGCAGCAGCAGAGCCAGCAGCAGGCTCGACTGCCGCAGCATTATCCACAAGCGCCCGGGCAACATCCGTTATATCCAGGTGCGCCGGCTCAAGCAGCACAGCCGGCAGCACCTCAGGCATATGCGCACAGTCCGTACGGCAGTCCGATGCAACATCAGCCGGGTCGCGGTGCTCCCCAGCATGTGGGCTACGGTCATGCAGCATTGGATCAGGCGAGCGCCTATGGGCAACACGTGCCAGGGGCGGCGCCGCCAACGCATCATCTAACTGCGCAGCAGCAGCAGGCTGCGCAGTTGGGTGCGCATCCAAGCTCGCATATAGCCAGTGCACAACAGCAACAGTTGCAGACACAGCAGCAGCAGCAGGCGCAGCAGCAGCAGCCGAACCATGTGAGCCTAATGCAGCAGCAGCAGCTGCCAGGCGCTGTATTGCCACCACCGCACATGGGCATGCCGCCCAGCTATGGCAGCCATCATCAGCAGCAGCAACAAGCACAGCAGCAGCAGCAACAGGCACAACAACAACAGCAGCAACAACAACAGGCACAGCAGCAACAGCAGAGTGCGCCGCCCTACATGTCCAGCAGCAAGCATCAGGCCAGCGCTCAGCTCAACTCCTCGCCACAATATCGTGCACCATTTCCACAGTTATCGCCGCAAATGTCGCCGCGACCGCCGACAATGTCGCCGCATCCGCAAATGTCGCCGCGGCCAGGCGTATCGCCCGCCAAGCCCCCACAAACAGCACAGCAGCAACAGCAGCAGGTGCAACAGCAACAGCAGCAGCAGGTTAATTCGCCTAGCCAACATAGCATTCAAGGCATGGTTGGCTTGCCCTCGCCCAGGGCGCAGCCACCGACCGCTGCTACAGTCGGCAATGCCAAGGTCCCAGTTAGCAGTGTGGCAGCTGGTGGTGTTGTGCCACCTGTGGTAAATACGTTGCAAGCACTCGAACAAATGGTTATGCCTTCACAGGCGCATGGGCTGCCGCCCATGGATTATCCCTCATCGTATCGCAGCGCTGCGGTTATGGGAGGACCACGCATGCCCGCCTCACCCTCGCCACAGCATCATCAGCAATGGGGCGCGCCGCACATGGCCGCGATGCAGCAACAACAGCAGCAACAAGCGCCCCAACAGCCGCCGCCACAGCAGCAGCAGCAGCAGCAACAGCAACAACAACAGCAACAGCAGCAGGCGGCTCAACAACAAGCAGCACAGCAGCAAGCACAGCAGCAAGCGCAGCAGCAAGCGCAACAGCAGGCGGCGCAGCAGCAGGCGCAACAGCAGGCGCAAGCGAATGCATTGCTACAGCAGCAGCAACAGCAGGCAGCAGCTGCAGCTGCAGCGGCGGCTGCCGCCCAGCAGCATCAACAACATCAGCTGAGCATGTATGGACAGAGTATGGGGCAACAGGTGCCCGTACCGGTGCCTGTTTCCGTGCCCGTGCCCGTCTCTGTGCCCACACAGCAACCACAACAAACAGCGCCCGCAGCACCGCCCGCACAGCCGCCAGCACCAGTGCTGCAACAGCAACAGCAACAACAGCAGCAGCAGCAGCAGCAACAACAACAGCAGCAGCAGCAGCAGCAGCAGCTGAATGAGCAACTGCAGCATTCCATCAATGATATTGTAGGTGGCAATCAGCAGCAGGCGCAAATGAGCGCACAAATGTCCTCCTCGCCGCTGCATCAGCAGAGTTTGCCCAGCATGCATCATCTAAGCTCTGCAGCGCATCATCAGCAGCAACAGCCCTCACTAGAGGCGAGCGCAGCTCAGCAGCCACAGCAGCAGCAACAGTTGCAGACACAGCAGCAGCAGCAGTTGCAGCATCAATCACCCATACATCAGCAACAGTCGCCACTGCAGCAACAACATTTGCCCAACTATGCGCAGCAGCAGAGCACTAATCAACAACAACAACAGCAGCAACAGCAGCAGCAACAACAACAACAACAGCAGCAGCAGCATCAGCAGCAACAGCAATTTGATGCATTTGCCAATATACTGGGAGACACGCAGCAAGCGCCTGCCGCAGCTACAGCAACAGCTGCTACACAGCAAACGATGTCGCCAGCGCATGTTAGCTCGCCCATACCGCAGCTGCAACAGCAACACCAACAACAGCAGCAGCAGCAGCAGGTTCAACAACAATCGCAGTTGCAGCAGCAACCAGCCACGCCCACACCATCAACGCCCTCGCATCATTTGAGCAGCATACTGAACGAAACAGCCAATTCGAATGATTCGTCAACGCTAGCTGTTGCTGCCAACGACAGCAACAACAGCAGCAGCAACAGCAGCACCAACAGCATTGTCAACAATCAGCCCACCTCGGTGCACGACAGCAACTCGCAGAGCAGCATCAACAGCAACAACCAGCAGCCATTGCTCTCGAATATGGATACAGTCGGCAGCGGTGGCATGCTTAACAGCAACTCAGACTCGACGCACACCACCCATCATCATGTGAGTGGCGTGGATGTTGGCCTATTCGATAACAATTCAATGAGTTCGACAAGTGCTGCCGCTGTTGCGGCTGCCTCAAATGCAGCCAATGCTGCTGCAGCGCTGCTCGACAGCAATTCGCAATCATCGAATGCGGAATTCGAGAAGAGCGAGCAGCCAGAGCAGCAGCAGCAGCAGCAGCAGCCACAACAACAGCAGCCAACAATAGCTGCTGACGATTTGTGCGCTCAGTTGGCACAGGACGAGAATAGTGTGTCGAAAACGCAGCCGGAAACTCTCAGTGAGACAACGTTGCCGGAGGAGCTGGACAGCGGCAACAACAAGCAACAGCAGCAGACAGAGGAGTTGCTGGCGGAGCAGAGCTTAAGCGAACTGGCTGACGAAACGAAATCCACTGAGGAAATTAGCGAAGACAAAAGCCAAACGCAAATGGACAACGCCACGCTCAATCAGCAGCAGCAGCAGCAGCAGCAGCAGCAGCCACTTGGACAAACACCTTTAGGTGTAAGTGGAATGCACTCGCTGACAGGCTACGAGGGACAGCAGCCAGCACAGTCAGCCACAGTACCGCCGCCTCCACCACCCACGCACATGCAGCCCATGTTGCCACCATATCCAGGTGCAACAGGTGCCATGTATCCACCATATCCGATGCTGCATCAACAGGAAATCGCCGCATTGCAACAGCAAATACAAGAGCTCTATTGCATGCCACCTGGACATGAGCATCAGCATCAGGAAAAGCTAATGCGCTTGCAGGAGCGTCTGCAACTGCTGCAGCAACACGAACTGGCCGAGCAATGTGCTGGGGGACCACAGTGTTTGCTCTATCAGACCATGCCACCGCTGTATGGCAGCAGTGCGTTGCACAATCAAATGGTCGAGAGTCCACAGGTGTCCAGCACAACGGGACGGGGTCGTGGCAAAGGCGCCAACAAACCACGCAAGCCACGTGCCAAAAAGGGCGACAAAGCGGCAGCAGCAGCTGCTGCATTGCAGCAACAACAGCAACAGGAACTAATGGACATTAGCGGCAATGTGGTTGTGGCTGCAGCCAGTGCGAGCAGCAGCAGCAGCGGCATCATTCCCATACCCACCACTCAATTGCCTGTCTCCGAGGACTGTGTCACCCAGGGAGCAGGTGATACAAGCGTCGTGGGTCTACTCGAATATAGCGAGAGCATGGGCGACTTATCGCAGGATGTGCACTCGGCCAATGAACTGGACACCTCCACCGATGGCAGTGGCAAAAAGAAGAAACCACGCAAGCCACGCGCACCCAAGGATCCGAATAAGCCACCACGTGATCGCACGCCCAAGGTAAAAAAGCTTCGCGATCCCAATGATCCGAACTCTACGGAATCTCCTGGAGGCGGACGCAAGCGAGCGAATGTTAGCAAGCGGCGCAAACAGTTCGGAGACGATGGAGCCGAGCAAACGGGCGAGGGCAGTGAACTGGAGGATAACAAACCACTTTTGCCCAAGTCCAGTGAAGGCGAGGCAGAGACCAGCGCTGGGGCCGGTGGCGTCGATGGTGAATCACCGGATTACGATGACATACCCGTTTCGAAGATACCAAGAGGCGCAAATGACGATGACAAAGATGCCGAAGCGGGTGATGAGACAGTGGATTCGGTGCCCGATTCAGCCGGAGATGCGGCCAGCACGCCGAGTCGTCGAGATCGCAAGCGTTCGACGGCTCGCAGTCGTCGCAATGCCACCTCCGAAGAAGGAGGCAGTGCACGTCGGAATCGAGGCTCATTGAGTGCCAAGGCTCTGAAGAAGCGACGCAATCGCGGACGCATTGTGCCCGAATCGGATGGTGAGGACGATACTATGGATCGTACGCCGCCGCCATCGCCTCCACCAGATTCAGAACTCGATTCGAATAAGCGACGCTCGTCGAGAAATACACAGCGCAAGAAGTATATAGACGATGTAATGCTACGGTTCTCAGATGATGAGAATTCCCTGCTGGTAGCCTCCCCTGTAAAGAAGGAAAAGAAGTCTTCCTCGGCCAACGCAGCCAACTCGAATGCTGGCAGCGATGTGGAAAAAGCAGAACCACAGTCGGGCGCTGAAGGTGAAGCTGGCAGCTCAGCGGGCGAAGAGAAACCCTCCGTGGCAGCAGATGACACCAACAGCCAACTGGAGGCCAGCTCCAGCACCGCTGCCGCTGAGAAGGCGGAAAGGCAAAGTGCTAACGATGCGGCTGCCTCAGCCATGTCCTCGAAACCCAACTATGTGTACATCAACACGGGCGACGAGGATAGTATGGTAGTGCAGTTTGTCTTAGCTCTGCGGATGGGTAAGCGGGAGCTAATACCCGAGCCACCTAAAGTTAAGACGCCAGAGCCTAAGACGGAGGCGGAAATAGAAGCGGAAGCGGCAGCAGGAGCTGAAGCCGAAAAGGCCGAAGATAAGGAAACTGCTGAGAAAAGCGAGGACAAAACGGAAACAGAAGAAACCAAGAAAGTGGATAAGGAGGACAAAGAAGATGCGGATAAGCCAGCGGAGGATGCGAAAGCTGAAAGCGAAAGCAAAATGGAAGTGGATGAAAAGCTGGAGACAGTCAAGAAGGAAAAAACCGATGAAGATACGCCCGAAAAGGAGGCGGAGAAAATGGAAACTGACGAAGCTACAGAGCCAGAAAAAGCAGCTGATGAAGCAAATCAAATTGAAAAGGAAGAGAAACCAGAAGAAGAACAAGAAGAAGCAGAGGCCAAGACTGATGTTGCACAGGAAAAGCCAGCTGAGCCAAAGAAGGAAGATGTGAAAGAGGAGGTACTAAAAGAAAGCGAATCCGAAACAGATAAGGAAAGTGAAAAAGATCAAGAAAAGGAAAAAGATTCTGACACCGAAGCAACAGAGAAAATGGAAGTAGACGACGACACTGAGGCTGAAGTTAAGAATGAAGAGGGCAAAGTAAAAGCAGAAGACGAAACAGCAACTGAAGCAAAGACAGAAGAAGACAAAGATAAAGATAATGCGGACAAAGAGACAACAAAACAGACTGAAGATGATACAGAGGACGGAGACGACAAGTCCAGTGACACAAAGGACGATAAGCCCGAGCCCGTCTTCATCGATGTCGAAGAATATTTTGTGAAATACCGAAATTTCAGTTATTTGCACTGCGAATGGCGCACGGAAGAGGAGCTCCTGAAAGGAGATCGTCGTGTGGCTGCAAAGATACGACGCTTCCAGCAGAAGCAAGCTCAGCAGATCAACATATTCGAGAATATCGAAGAGGAGCCCTTCAATCCCGACTTTGTTGAGGTGGATCGTGTTTTGGATATGTCTGTCCATACGGATGAGAATACCGCAGAGACAACGAAGCACTATTTGGTTAAATGGAAATCATTGCCATATGAGGATTGCACCTGGGAGCTGGAGGAGGATGTTGATAACGACAAGATTGAGCAATACTTGCGCTTCAACAAAGTACCATTGAGATGTGAATGGAAGAGTCGTAAACGTCCGCATCCTGAGCAATGGAAGAAACTGGAAAAGACGCCCATCTATAAGAGTGGGAACAGCCTGCGACCCTACCAGCTTGAGGGCTTGAATTGGTTAAAATTCTCCTGGTATAATTCGCACAATTGCATCTTGGCCGATGAAATGGGTCTGGGCAAGACCATACAGAGTCTGACCTTTGTTCACTCGGTCTACGAATATGGCATAAGAGGTCCATTTTTGGTTATAGCTCCTCTGTCGACCATACCCAATTGGCAGCGCGAATTCGAGGGCTGGACCGATATGAATGTGGTTGTCTACCACGGCTCGGTGACCAGCAAGCAAATGATACAGGACTATGAGTTCTACTACAAGACCGATAGTGGCAAGGTGCTTAAGGAGCCGATTAAGTTCAATGTCCTCATCACCACATTTGAGATGATTGTAACTGACTATATGGATTTGAAGGCCTTCAATTGGAGGCTGTGCGTTATCGATGAAGCGCATCGCCTGAAGAATCGCAACTGTAAATTGCTGGAAGGATTAAGACAGCTTAGTCTCGAGCATCGTGTCCTGCTCTCTGGCACACCTTTGCAAAACAACATAAGCGAACTTTTCTCTTTGCTCAACTTCCTGGAGCCGAGTCAATTCTCGTCGCAGGAAGAGTTCATGTCAGAATTTGGCAGCCTACGCACCGAGGAGGAAGTCAATAAATTGCAAGTGCTGCTCAAGCCGATGATGCTGCGACGTCTGAAAGACGACGTCGAGAAATCTCTAGCACCGAAAGAGGAGACCATCATTGAGGTGGAGCTGACGAACATACAAAAGAAATATTATCGCGGCATATTGGAGCAAAACTTTAGCTTCCTCAAAAAGGGTACGACCTCAGCGAATATACCCAATCTGATGAATACAATGATGGAGTTGCGTAAATGTTGCATACATCCATATTTGCTCAATGGCGCCGAGGAGCAAATTCAATACGACTTCAAAGCACAGCATGGCGAGGATCCCGAGTCCTATTATAAGAATCTTATACTCTCGGCGGGCAAAATGGTGCTCATTGATAAGCTGTTGCCCAAGCTGAAGGCGAATGGACATCGTGTTTTGATCTTCAGTCAGATGGTACGCTGCCTGGACATACTCGAGGACTATTTGGTTTATCGCAAATATCCGTTCGAACGCATTGATGGACGCATTCGTGGTAATTTACGTCAGGAGGCGATTGATCGTTACTCCAAGCCTGGTTCGGATCGCTTTGTCTTTCTGCTCTGCACCAAAGCTGGAGGATTGGGCATCAATCTAACAGCCGCCGACACAGTGATCATCTATGATTCCGATTGGAACCCGCAGAACGATTTGCAGGCCCAAGCGCGTTGCCATCGTATTGGCCAACGCAAAATGGTTAAGATATATCGTCTGTTGTGTAGGAATACCTACGAGCGAGAGATGTTCGATAAAGCCTCAATGAAGCTGGGCCTGGACAAAGCTGTACTACAGTCCATGAACACGCATGGCTCCAAGGACGGCAACAACAAGCAGTTGTCCAAGAAGGAAATCGAGGATCTGCTCAAGAAGGGCGCCTATGGCGCCGTCATGGATGACGACAATGCGGGCGATAAGTTCTGTGAGGAGGATATCGACTCGATTTTGAAGCGACGCACACAGGTCATAACTATGGAATCGGAGAAGGGTTCCACCTTCTCGAAGGCTTCGTTTGCCGCCTCTGGCAATCGCTCAGATATTACAATTGACGATCCCGACTTTTGGACCAAGTGGGCTAAGCGAGTGGATATTGATCCTGATGCCTGTGAACGCGATGAGACTGAGGATCTGGTGCTTTCCGAGCCCCGAAGACGCACACAGATCAAACGTTATGGACACGAGGATGTCATGGAAATCAACTCGGAGGATTCATCGAATGAGAACAGCGATGAAGAGGGCGGCATAGGTGGGTCACATAGAAACTAGCTGTTCTAAATCCATTTTTACGATATTAATGAATATAATCTAGGTCTACGCTCGAGACGTCGCAAGGAGAAACGCGATCGCAACCGTGAAAAGAAGGGACACGACGAATATATACCTAGGGAGCGTGATGCCTTGGCTGCTTTGGGCCTAGAGGAGATTCAGTATGGCAACTGGGCCAAGTCGGAATGCTTCAAAGTGGAAAAGGGTCTACTCTCATTTGGGTAAGTTCTTATATTTTATATGCCATCACGATTCCTACAACGTCTTATCACATTATTAAGTTTCATATTAAGTATATAGATCTTGCGCTGCAGCATCTTTTCTTCCTTCTCCAAAGATAGAGCCTCCTCCTTCTTCTCAATATACTCGGTAATACTTGGAGCTTCGTATTCTTCCAGCTGGGCACGCAGCTCATTCAATATTACATAATCCTTTTCATTGTTTACCTCCACTGCTGCGACCTCCTTCTCCAATTTGGCTATGGTGCGTGTTATTTCCTCGGTACGATTGAGGACATAGCGCATTTCCGTCTCCAGATTCATCATGGCCTGCTTCTCCTCTGTCATGGCCAGCGACGTTTTGCCCGTAACACCCTTCAGTCCCGACATATGGATATTCTTCTCCTCCAGCTCGTTGGTCAATTCGGTGCGTTTGATAATCAACTTCTCGAAATCAACAGCCGTCAAAATGCCACTCAAATCAGCTTTGGTTATCAGATCAGCACGATGCTGTTGACAGGTCTCCTGCAACGAGACTATTGTCAAACGCATCGTGCCCAGCAACGCGCGCGCGTTCTTGAACCAATTGGCCGTAAATTTACGCAGTTTGCGCTCGACCTGACGCTCCGTAGCGCTCTCCAAAAAGGCAATATCATTACTGTCGCGCAAAAAGTGTAGCATAAAGTTCTTTTCCGTCTCAATGGTCTCCTCGCTGCGATAATGCAGCTCCTCGATTTTAGCACGCAACTGCTTCACCTCAACCATAGCTACAAGAAGAGATTTCAAATGTATACTATATACTGTATAATACGGAATATATGTACTATATATGATATATACTATGTATGGTATATATACTCTATGTGCTGTAATAAACTATATGTGCTATATACTAGGTGTATTATATATACTCTATATGCTGTAATAATCTGTGTAATATATACCTTATGTATTATATATACTGCATGTACCACATGTACTGTATATGATATACGTATAGTATATGATATACATATATTATATGATGATATACAGACTCTATATGCACTATATATATGCTATAGCTAGATCACGCTGTGATAGCTGTGATCTATTCTATATACTATAGAGTTTATATATACCATGTAGCATAGTAAGATCAGTATAAGTACACATAATACTATACTACACCCGATATATATACTATATACCGTTACTGTCATCACTAGAACTGGCTTGTTAGCGTACCATTCTTTTCAATATCAATCACTCGCTTCTCCACTTCAGCTGCCGCTTTCTCGGCCAGTTCGGCTTTGGCCTTAAAATTCAATTTGTGATCAACCTGTTTGCGTCGCTCGCCCATTTGGCTCATTGCACCCATGTGTATGGACATGGTAATGGAACGTTTGGAGCTAGAATGACGACTCGATTGTTGCAGGTTATCCTGTTGCCGACTTTTGGACTGCATGCGTCTGACAATCGAAGTGCGACGCTGACGCAATCCAACTAAAAGTTTCGGGTCATTCTTCTCCAGAAAGTCAACCATTATATAGTTCTCGAGCTTATATATGGCCAACTCCTTTTGGACCTCCTCAACTGTTCGCAACATATCCAACGAATCGAAGAGATTTAATTTTGCCTTTCGCTCCTCATCGTTCAGCTGCAAATATTCATCCAAATGATACTTCTGCGAAATACCTAATATATCCAATTCAAAAGTCTCCCCCTCTGCACCGGAGGCGGGCACATGCGATTGCGATCGATTAACATTAAATCTCGATTCGGTAGTGCCGATGCTCTTCTCTGATATGCTAAACATGATCGATTCTTGGACATAAAATACAATATATAAATATATATATATATAGCTAAAAGGAATTAAAGTAGTCTGAGCTGTGCTCAGTGCCGCCTTCTGTCTTTAGTGATCTATATAGAAATTTTATAGCCGAAAAGAATTGTGCGTTTTGGTTTGGATGTAATGATGCATAAACTAGATTGTTTATAGTGTTTAGTAGAACTGTTTGAAATATATAGAATATAGAATATTTCAACATAGGCTTCTATGTTCGTTTCATTCAATTATTGCTTGTTTTATGACCTGCATAAAGTATATATAATATTTTGATCAGGTAGACGAATTTCGAAATATATATATAGCAGGGTAACTTCTAGTCGGGCTCTCCTGGCAACTGAGGCCTGTGCCTCAAAGAAAGCCTGGTATGGAGATCGTCTTCTAATCCCAATTCAACTTTTATTATTGATGTTAGCAGATTAGCTATAATCTCATTATCTACTCTATATCTTATCTAGCGACTTATTTAAATATTTCCCTTTGCTCTTTGCAGTTGGGGTCGTTGGACGGAACTCCTGGAATTGGGTCAATTTAAGCGCGGCTGGCGCGATGTGGACATCGAAGACTGTGCACGCATTATAGTAAGTGCCAGCGGAAAGCTCAAGAGATGTTGTATATTTAGTATATGCAAAGCAAATGTTTAATGATGACCAACCATGCTAATATTGAGAAAACTTTAGGTTTTCGCTGAGTAAAAACACAACTTCTCAACTCGCTGAACAAATACAATAAATTGCTACATTCTGTTTGATGAATATTCAACTAATATCTCGTATTCTGTTGCTCTCTTTTAGCTGCTGTACTGCCTGCAGGTGTACAAAGGTGATGAGAAGATCAAGACGTTCATTTGGGATCTGATTACACCAACTGAGGACGGCGAGGTGCAAAAGATAAGCAGGGATCATAGTGGCCTACACAATTTGGTGCCACGAGGTAGGAATGCCAAAGGTATGGTAAAAGATACATTCACGCACTCCAACTGCTGCACGGACGTAGAGAGTTATCCAAAAAAAAAAAAAAAACAAAAACGAGCTGCCTCGAACTAGAAATTATTACTCGTAATGTACAAAAAAAAAAAAAGAAAAAAAAATAGAAGAAAGAGTTTTACACACTTTACCTGTGGGCTGGACTACCTTAACTCTAACTAGCTAACTATTCTAGATATTCAGCTGGCAGCTAATTTACTCTACTTGGCCTATATATGTACTATATATAAATATATCCAATGGATCTATATCTCTAACTGGGTTCTGTGTTTTCTACAAAGTCTTAACTGTTGCCCAACTTCAACTTCACTAAAAACCAACAACTGTCTGACTGTCTGTTCAAATAACGGTTATATAAGCGAATATATACATATAGAATTTAGTAACTGACTCGACTTTGACTGCGACCAGACGAACGTTAAGAACTGAACTAAAAAATGATGAACAAGTGTGTGTATGTTTTGTTGCCATGCAATTGTATGCCTTTTACTATAACCTTTTTATGATTTATATAATAGCTACATAAGCATATATATATACATATTTTTTCAACTATATATATAACATTATTTGTACATAATCATGATTAACTTTTTATAACAATCAATTTATTTTTTATATAAAAATCATCTTCATTCGCTAAGCAATTTATTTACTTGCAAAGTGATCATAAATTTGTATTTCTTAGAGCTACAAACTGGGGTTAGTTTCAGATGTCATATCACTCGTATTCTACATGAAATTGTTTAATATATTCTTAAACTAAAACTTAGTTTTCATAAAAGACTCGAACTTGTCTGTTGCCTATATCTAACTGTTTTATATCCAATCACACTGATTGAGATCATATTTAACTGGTGTAGGTATGTTCTAGCTGAGTTATATCTGAGCTAAGTGCATTAAATAGCATCTAAATATTTTAGATTTAAGCTAATTGTATTTGGAACTTAGCTAAAAGTTTTATTTTTTTTATTTCACATTCAAACAAGTTAAAGTTGTCTGAAGAACAGAGAAATATCCAAAAATCTCTGCAAATCTGTTGCAAACAAGACTCCAAGATCACTTTGCCAGTTGACCACGCCTTCGGCCAATCGAAGCTACATTTGAAAAGCATTTTTTGTTTGTATCTCACATACATTTAGTACTTTGTTTCACTCATATCATATCATATCATATCATACCTCTGTACATAATTAGAATTGAAATATTTGAAAGTAGTTCAACTCATGCATCAATCATCTATCGCAGAACAAGTTGAGCCTCTGTCCTTAGACAGGATGGCTCAGCGTAAGAGCAGAAGTTGCAACTTAATTGGAATTGTTTTTTATCAACATCCTTACAGGCCGCAATGGTGGCAAATCCAATAAGGAGATGGCCTGTGGCAGCTCCACACCTGCGCCAGGTACTGCTTCGGGCAGCAATAGTGGCAACACGACACCGGCACACAAATCAAGTGCATTGGAAACGGATAAGGAGCAGGTGGGCGGCGGCGGCGGCATCAGTGCCAGTGCTGTGGCAGCGGCTGCGGCCGTTGTTGTGCCTACACCAGCCCCAGCACCACCCACTAGCATACACGATCCGAATCACTGGAGCAAGAAGGAGAAATACGATGCAGATGCATACCTGGAGGGCGCCTATAAGAAGCACTTGGGCAGACACGCGAATAAGTGAGTCGTGTGGAATCGAATTTGTTTAAACTAATAAACCAACTTGAGGCCAAACTAACATTGCTAACAACAACCAAAATTCTCTCTTCCACTCTCTTTCCCCATTTTGTTTTTTTTTTCTTTATTTCGATTGCATTTAATTTATTTTCATTTCATTATTACGTTTTTACAGGGTATTGCTGCGCGTGCGCATGCTCTATTACATCCAGCACGAGGTCATTGGCGATCTGGTGCAACAGATTAAGGATAATACGCCCATCAGGTAGGCAATCAACTGATTGAGATAACTATATATAAATACATAGTAGTATATCATTTAACACACATCACATCATGATTGTTGTCGTTGATTGATTGATTGATTGACTGATTGTTGTTGCGCTCTAATCGAGCGTGCCAAAGCATTCGTTTGTCTTTCTTTTATCTAAATATCTTCTCGCATTTATATAAATATATATCTATATTCATTCATATATTTTTTAGTTTTTTTTATTTTATTTTTTAACTTATTAATTGTATTTAAAAAATGAAAAAATGCCAATTTGTTTTTAATGCTAGTTAGTCTTAACTCTTAAACTAAATTTACTTAAGCTCGCGAGTAATTTTTCTGCTCTGTTTGATCTCTATGAATAATTAAAGTGGCTGGAGTTGTGTTCTTTAGTTCAAAAGTGGTTCAATTGAATTGAATAGACTTATTTGATAATTGTAGTTCATAAACGATACTCGTACTGCTCACTTATTTAAATTCAGTTCATAAGCTGAACTGGTTCAATGGTTCATCAAGAAATTAATTGGCAGAATTGTTTATGTGAACTAGTATATAATAGAAATTGTGTTATTGAAGTGAAAATGAATGGAAATCGAGTTTTCAGTAGATAATCAATTGAAATTGAACTAAAAATGCATATGAAATTTAAATTGAACTTGAAATTCAAATTGAACTGATTTGAAATTGAGTTATTGAACTGACACTGAACTAAAATTGATCAAAATGCATATGAAATTGAACTAAAATTTAGAAATAATTGAAATTGAACTTAAATCGAAATAAATTGATATTAATTAAATATTAAAATTAAAACTCAATGCATTGATCTAGAAATACATTTGAATAAGAATTTTATAAAGAATTGAAGTTTAACTAAAAACTCACATCAAATTTAAATGGAACTAGTAATTGGTTTTAAATTTAAAATTGAACTAAAACTCGCAACTTCAGCTGCGTTTGGGTATTTGATCGCTTTTGTGTGAGTGCTGCTCTCGCTGTCTAACTGCTCTTTCTCTCTCTCGCTCGCTCACACACACACTCCCACTCCTTTACTCGTTACTAAACTCTCTCGCTCTCTCTGTGTCGCTCGTTACTAAAAACTCTCGCTCCATGTTTAGAAGTTCGTTCATTTCCCAAATATTTGTTCTATGCAACTCTTTTATAAAACACATTTTGTATAAATCCAACTTTAAATCACAAAAAAAAAAAATGGTTTTCGCATCGTAAGCTCCAAAAAGTTTTCTCTCTCTCGCTGTGTTTTGTTTGTTGCACTTGAACAATTTGTTTTGACGAGTTTTCTAATTTGCTAATTTGAATACGAATATATATATATATGTGTGTGTATTATGTATGTATATACTATATATATACTGACTACTTTTGGAACTACAACTTCTACTACAACAACAACAACAACAACAACTGCTGCAGTTCGAAAGCAAAGCAACTACTAGCACCCAATCTGGAAAGGTAATATCTATGCACACACAAACACACACATCTCGCCCGTTCGCTCGCTCGATCGCCCTCTCTCGCTATCTCGCTCGCACGTACGCAAAAATAATGAAGGAAAACTCATTTTATACGTCATATCGTATCGATCTACGAATTGTTCCAATAAACATGACATAAAACAACCAATTTTCATACGAGGGTGGCTTGAAAAATTTGCGTACTTGAAGGAATTTTGTATACAAATTTAAAAAGAATTAAAATTTTTTTAATATTCATATGTATTTCGTTCGCTTGCAAATCTTTCAGCTCACTCTCGTCTATCATTTTTCAATATTCCAAAAACTAACTCGAAAATTACGAAATAAAAAAACACCCGAATATCTCTTAAGTTGCATTTTGTAGTTTTTGTACCCGAAAGTCTGTCAAATGTAATTTGTTTTCAACTGTTTTTAATCCGTAGCACAAATTGGCAAATTAACAAAAAAAACAATATAATTTCTATTATTTTTTATAATTTATTTATTTTTAAAATTTTCTAAATTTATTTTTATTTTATTATCTTAATTTTTTATTTATTTTTAATTTTTACAAATTTTCTAAATTTTTTGTAATCGCAAAAAACAATGCAAAACAATTATTAAAAAAATTGACAAATTTTTTATTTAAAATTTTTACTAAACAACTCATTTCTATTCCCCCTCATCTATATATACATATATGTATATATATTATATATAATTATATATGTGTATATATATATATATGTATCTATATATATCGTATGTGTGTGCATATCTATCGAATCATGCAGCGAGCTACCTATTCGGCCGCCACCAACGCCCGATCAAGTGCCATCCTCATGGTGGAATCCCATTTGTTGTGATAAGAGTCTATTGGTTGGAACGTATAAACATGGCTGTGAAATGTATCGTCAAATGCGAGCCGATCCCAATCTATGCTTTGTTACGCATGTGGGCGCCGGTGCCGGTGACGATTTGGCCGTCACGAGTTTGCCAATGTAAGTAAATACATCTATATATACCATATCATATTTATCAATATTAACAAAACACACACACATACACACTATATCCCCCTCCCTCCATATTGAGCTATGCATAAATAGGGTAACATTTTCGTAATATCACATAAGCCACAAGTACTAATACTGATCACAAAAGCCTTAAGACCAGACTCTAGCCTACATGTGGAAGCAACTGGTAGAGAATTAAGAAATTTTTATGTAATATAGAGAGCTTTAAAAACAGGAACTAAGCCATGTGCTCTATGTAACTAAGAGTTTTCTGTATTCTGCCTCATGAAAATACATTTAGCTTAAGAGTTAAAGAACATATATCGTATATATCAATAAATTCAGTGTGATTGTTACAAATTTTACTGCTTTAAATGGAATTGAATGTAGAATTTCTAGTGAAACTTAGCAAGAATCTAGTTTAATATAAGAAACTTGGACAGAAATGATAAAAATTAAAAATACTGAGAAGCTTAGTAGTAGCTTAGTCAAGTCAAATTACAATTAGTTCCAAGAGATATAAATGTTATAATCTATAAAATATATTTCAATGTGACCGTATATAGTTTTTCTAAAGAACTTAAGATTAGAACATTTTTGAATGCTTAGAAAATTCATAGAATAGACCCTGACTGCTTGAGAGCGTACGTTCCTTAGCTCTCAATATAAACTTTAAAGAATCTTAAACTAAAAATTGCTCTAATTTTATAATTCGAATTAGACATTTGGTTAATGATTAATTAGATTGGCATACCTTAATACGATCACACTGAATAAACAAATATTTTTAGACAAAAATGTGTGTGCGTCGATATCGATAGGTAGCTATCGATAACTCAGTTGCTTATTAAATGACATTAATTGTTGACTTCACAGAAATGAGGACGATGCAAATTCGAAACACGATGACGGCGATGAGGTGGACGATGACGGCACCACCACAACCAAAGATTCAGATTCCACGAAGCTAACGGCTGGCGATAACAAGGACTCACTAGATCCAGAGCGTCCCAGTTCGTCGGGTAAGAGCGATAAGTGCGATACCAGCGATAACAATGGATCGATTGTACAAAAAGCAGCCAACGTCGAACTTGGCTCGGCTGTGGGCAATGGCAGCGCCGTTGAGGCGGAACCAGCGGCACCAAACGAATTGGCACAAAAAGAAAACGAAAAAGAAACTCAAAATCAAAATCAAAATGAAAATGATAAAGAAAAAGAAATTGATAAAGAAATTGAAAAAAGTAATGAAAAATCAGAAGGCGAAGCAGAGGCTGTGGCAGTCGCTGACGTTGAAGCAGATGCTGACGCCGATTCAACAAGCTCGGCAGCTGCTGCTGTTGACGTTGGCGCTGTGACAGCCACTGTGGCAAGCCCGTTGGACACTGATCTGGATGTGGCGAAGAGCGAAGCCCTGGCTAATGGAGCCGCTGCAGCTACAGCATCAGCCGCTGGCGAAGCCGTTGATGCCGCTGACATTGCAACAGCCGAGTCTGGTTCTCAATCATGCACTAACGCCAACACAACCACCACAACCACCACTACCACAACCACAAATATCACCACCACCACTATAACCACCATTACCAATCCATCAACAACGACTACGACTGCGTCTGCCTCTGAGCCAGCGGGTCAAAACTGCGAAAATGCTAACTCCAACTCAAATTTAGGCTTGGACGAGGAGGAAAGCGTCGCTGGCAGCTATCCGCCATCGACACTGGCTGTGGTCGAGGATGCCACCATGTGGCCATCGATGCAGGATCTGAATACGCGCTTGCGTCGCGTCATCACCGCCTACCAGCGCAACTACAAGAAGGAGGAACTGAAGCAACAGCAGAAGGCCAAGGTAAGTGCTTCTTCGACTGCCCCCATTACAATCATTCCATCAGTGTCCCATTATGTTCCCACTTCTGTTAAGCCAACATCGATTATATATCGATTTTAACTATCGAATTTGACACCCAGTATTTCCAACTATTCACAAAAACCGTCGAATATCCCTAGCAAGAACGATGGAAACAGTTTGCATATTCAATTGACTTATCGAATCTGTCCAGAGTTATCGATTAATATTGATAATATTTAAAATGTCGATTTAAAGCTTTTACATACAGCTTTCAAAATTTAATCGATTTTTTCGACAATGGATCCAAAATAAACAGCGATAAATATAATCATTAATCGATCGCTCTAATTAAAGAATATATATACACGATATCTAAAGAGTTCAGCGTTAAAAATCGACAAGCTTCAGATTTTTTTACTGATGCAATCGATATTTCTAGTGTTATTGATTATTTATTGCTTGTCAGTTCGAACATAGTAAAAAAGACTAAATCTTCTCAATTTGTAGTTATCGATCAATTCGGATACATTTATCGATGAATGTTATTTATTTTCTCTAACAACCATTTTTTATATATATGTTTCCATCACTCTTGCAATATCCTATTGTATTACGTAAGCAATTTGTGTTTATCGTTTTGTATTTTGCAAATAACACCAAAAACCAAAAAAAAAAAAACAAACAAAATTTGTAGTGTCAAAAGAAGATATTGAAGTATGTAGTTTTGTTGCTTAGCTGTTGGCCGTAGATTAAAGAAAAATCCTTGGCTTTAGATTTGCGAAAAACCAAAATTGTCGAATTGTAAATTGTAGTTAAAGTAGATTTGAGAACCGAAAACTAGAACCGCGGACGGACTGTGAAAGGACTCAAACTCAAACTTATCTGGCGACCTAACCAACAGCTGATTAACAAAACTATCTGCTAAAGAAAAATGAGAGGCGACAACCCTGTTTAAATGAGCTGTCCTTGCTGCTCAAATCACTCAATTAGAGTTGTGTCGCATAGTTCATAAAACGGAACTAGTGAAACTTTGTTGGTGCTCAGTGAACATGCACATACGCATCGTTCATGAACTAAGTGCTGAACTAAAGTGAACTAGTGAATAAAATGATCAAGTCGATAGTAAACTAAAATGCTCAGCTCTATTCCTTGTTTACACTCATTCGCTCTCTCACACACACACACACATGCTCTCTCTCTCTCTCCTCTCTCATGAAATGTTCGCTTGTTACTGTTGTTACAACTACTCCTCCTCCTCTGCCTCAACAGCTACAGGCTTTGGTCTCATCGACGCCGCCGCTATCGGTGCCAACCACCCCCACTCTGCAGTCGATGCAAATGCAGATGCAGGGCGGCGCTGGCGTTGGTGGCAATGCGGGCGCCAACGTCGGTGTCGGTGTCGGCGTCGGCGGCGGTTCCGTTAGTCAGCTGCAGCAGCAGCTCGACTCGAGCAATCGCAGCCTGCAGGCTTTGATGCAGTCGCAAGGTGCCAGCACCTCAGCTGCTGCAGCAGCAGCCGCTGCCGCCGCCGCCGCTGGCTCTGGTTCATCGCATGGAATGGTGGGTCAGCATCAACAGCAGCAACAACAGCAGCAACAACAGCAGCAACAACAGCAACAACAACAGCAGGTGGGCGGAACACAGGTGCCGGCCATGCCCACCGCCGCAGATATCAGCCTTATGCTGAGCATCCTCAACACCACCGATGTCAGCCAATTGGCCAATTTGGATATCAGCAAACTGGCCATGTATTTGGTTAGTATGAACAATGTACGTGAAACAACCTGATGAGTACCTCTCTCTCTCTTTACTTAATTTTAAAAGTCTATACAATGAAAAACTCAAATACTCAAAAACAAAAAACAAAAACTCCCCGTATACCCGGCAGAACTTACTACCCACCACTTACTCACCTACAAATTTAACCAGCAAATCGTCAACATCATGCAGAACTTAACACACCCTTACTCTCTCTCTCTCTCTCCTTGTTCAAAAAGCCCACATGGGGCGTTAAATAGACCATGACCCATCCACCCAATCACCACTCAAAAATACTCAATGCCGCCCTCCATCTCCTCCTCAACAACCCACCACACACTGACAATAACTTACCACACACACACATATATATATATATATATATATATATACATACAAATACAAGCACTCACATTAAACATGCTGATCTAACTAACCCTTTGAAACCGTTACATTTGAGTACATTAAACATACTAACAAGCATGATCTATACTTATAAGAAATTTCTGTATACAATTGAATTACTTGCTATATTTAACTATTTTATTAGTTCTTAAGACTTTTTCTCAATTGATATTGATTTTTAATATGCCAAAGTTTTATAACGATTACCAAATGTAATCGAATTTTAAGGAATTTTCAAGTATTTAAAATCCTCAATTTTATATTTTGCAAATTAAGATATATTATGTGAATCGTTGTTGGCCATTAAGTATTCAAAAGTCCATCTCGAGCCATAAACCGGTTTAGAGCTATTCGCTACTTTGCATTCCATAAGTTTGCGCTATTTAAGTCAGCCATTTTTATTTATTACTAAATTACCGTTGTCTTCTCACGTTTCGATTGCTATCTGTACATATCGATAAACCCCTTCGCTCGCGTGCATTCAAAAAGCGAATTTCAATGTGGAGTGAGAATAAATGAAGTGTGTGAAAAGTCAAAAGAGGAAATCTGGCAAGCAACGGCAGCAACAGCAGCAGCAGCACCAGCGACAGCGAAAGAGGCAAAATAAAATGAAATAAGTTACACCCACCGTGCGAGGTGGTGGCCGTCGCTGATTTCTGTCAACTACATGCGACTGTATAACTGTCTCGTACAACTGTGTGTGTGTATGTATGTATGTATGTACTTCCGAATGTTCAAACAAAAGCAACGACTACAGCGGTGACAAAACGAGACGCAAGACATGCCGTAAGAGCAGGGCAACATCAACAGCAACGGCGACGGTGGCGGCGGAGGCGGCGAAAATACAAATACAAATACAGATGCAAAATACAAAATACACTTATGCTTAATTTATGCAAAATAAAAGAAGAAGAAAAAACATACACTGAGAGCGGGCGAAGCCAGGCCCGAAATGTGGTGCACACGAGATGCTCGGGCGCGAATGAGCAGCCAAACGAGCAAGCGAGGAAAATGTCAAACCAGCCGCCCCAAAATATGGAGGCAAACAGTAAAACCACAGACATGTTGGCCAACACAGCTCTTGGGTCAAATTATGAGATGGGACTTGGAGATGGGAGTCAATTGTACAACCTGACGCGTATTTCACTGTAGCAACAACAACGACGACAGCAGCGCGACGACGACGCCATTATCAAAAGGCGAAGCGAACGCCAGCGCCATCAATCAAAGCTGAAGCAACAACAACAATAACAGCAATACCAAAGGCAGAGTCGACGCTAGCAGAGCCTAGCAGCAGTAAGAAGAGCAAGCATAACCGTCTCACAGGCAAAGCCAAAGCCGTCGCATTATTGTTGTTGTATTGACGAAGTTCTTCTTTGGTGACGATGATTGTTGCCGTGGCGGCAGCGGCAGCGGGCGACGCTGGTCTCCGACTGTTGGGTATTGGTATCGGTATCGGTATCGGGTGGTTGCTGCTGCTGCTACGTTGGCTGTACTTGTGCGCCGTTGTTTGTATTAGTTTTTCATGACGAAGCCTGTATGTATGCTTGTGTGTGTAATTTTACATTTTCTGGATTTATCCAATGTTTAATTTTTTGCCTTCATTGCCTGCCCACCCAAATGCTGTTGTCGTCGCTTTGCTGCTCTCAGGCAGGCCGCGTATCCGTATCCGTGTCGTCGCTCTCACGGGGCGAATTATTGAGCGAGACGAGATGGCGAATATGTGACTTGGTACGGTGACCTGTTCCGCTCCTGCTTTTTCTTATAGCCCCGCGGCGCGTCAATAAAGCCAAAGCCTAATTGTGCTCATTTTAGCTCATAGTTGTTGTTGTCTGCTCCTTTTGCTCCACTGTTCGTTCGTTGTTCTGTTTTTGCCACTTGCAGCAGCAGCTTAAGAGATTTTTGTTGTTTCCTTCTAGAACACAAGCATAAACCTTGCATATAAATGTGTATGGGAATGGGTATGTATGTAGAAGCAGATGTGTGCGTGTGCGTGCATGTGTGTGTGTGAATGTTTGCCATTCTTTTTATGCTATCTTTCTGGTGTGCGATTTGCTTGGATGCTCACCTTGCTGACCGCTATTCGATTTATTATTTTATTAGCATTTGTTGCACAGTGGTGCAATTGCTATTAGTTTTCATTGCTCATTTATTTAAAGCTAGTTTGACCACTATGCGCGTGCGTCTCACGTGTAGCCGTTGCAGCTGCGCATTCACACCTGTCGGCCATAAATTATTTAACAAATTTTTTTTTCTCATTTTGAGAAAACCTGCCCAGTGTGCAATGGTCAGTTCATCAATATAAGTTGCACACACACACATACATACATACATATATTGGGATACGTGTACGAATGAGCCGCTGTTGTTATCTACCTGCTTTTTGATTTAGTTTTGCGTTACGCTTTAGTCAAATTTACGACCACACATGCATAAAAACGTCGCACGCTTACACACACACACCTATACATGTGTAGTCGTTAACTCTCACGTGCAGTTGTGCAGTTGCTTCTCTCACTCTCCCTCTCTTGCTCTCTTACCGGCCGATCATGTTTTCATATGTGTGTGTTTAGTCATATGCATTTTCTGAAGATGTGTCGCTGTCGCCGTCGATTGGCAGCTCGCTTTGTGCTGTTGCTACGGCTTCGGCTGCTGCTAGTGCTGTTGGTATTGGTATTGGTGGTGGGATTGTTGGATGTGTATCTGTATCTTACAGATTGATTAATAATCTCGTTTTTATACACGACAGAGCGCTCTTTCGCTCGCTGCTTTGGCAGCGGCTGGGTACGTGCTTATCGCACTTTAATGCAGTTTCTATCTTTCGCAATATATTGTACAGTATATGTAGATTCGTATGTACAAATGTATATGTGTACATATATGTAGATTAGTTGCCCATGCCAAAGGTCGTATTAATTAAACTATAACAAGGGTCAAGAATTGTCTATAGAAATTCTAGAACTCTTTTTTGTCACGTGTATTGATGTGTGTGTGCGCGCGCTCATTTTGTACCTGAAATTTTAATCCATTATTTTATTTTATCCGTTTTACGCTGTGTGTCCTTTGCTCAGTCACTGCCTCTGCTGACTCCTCTGCTTCTGCCTTCTGCTTTGTCGTCAACAGTTTTTGTGGTACATTTGTTTCATTGCTTGGCTTTTTGCCCCCACCCCTCACTCCATATCTAGATATACACATGTGTGCGCTAGTGTGTGAATATGTGTGTGTGACAGGCTCTGGCTTTGCCATTGCCTTTTGCTTACATTACACACAGTTGACACAATGTGCGCTGCCTTCTCATTCTTCTTCAACTCGTCCATCTAGTGCACACAGACACAGAATAAATACATACGCGCTCTCGCTAGCGGCGCTCTCGCGTTCAATGCGCTCTCTTTCTCTCTCTCACGCTGTATGTCTCTCTTGGCACTGCAAGTGACGTTTTGCCTGTGCCTTGTGCCTGTTCCTTCGCCTTCGCCGCGCTCATTCACCTCAGTGGATGGACGACAGGCTGTGACTGCCTTTCTGCCTGCCCATCTCATTCATATTCACATTCACCCAAAACGGCGTTTGGCTTAATCTCACGATTGTTTGGTTTCGTTTGGTTTGGTTTTTCTGCTCTGGCTCTGGCACTGGTTCAGCTCTGCTCTGCTCAGCTCAGTTTTGTTGCTCTGCTCTGCTCCCTCGCTCAATAGTAGTTGCTTGACTGTTGTTGTTGTTGGTTTGACTAGCGACCCTCTCCCCCGTTCTCTACGTCGCCGTTGCCATCGCTGTTGCTGGCTGATTCGCATTCGATTTTAGCTGCTAGTGCCGCTGCCGCTGCCGCTGTCGCTGCTTCCGTGCGCGTATGCGTCCCCGTTGTGGTCTCTTTGTATGTGTGTGTGTTTGTGTGTGAGGAGTGTTTCTTGTATTTAGTCCGCAATGCGCTCGCTCATTATTTGTTTGAGCGCCGCGGTGTAAAGTTGTAAAAAGTCCAAGTGCTTGAGCAGCAAACGCATCCATATCCAAAACAACGTCGTCGGGGCTTTTCGTATCTCTGCCTCTCTTCGTCTCTCCCGCTTAATGCATGTGCCACTGTGTGTGTGTACGCTTGTGTATGTGCATAGAAGAAATAATAATCAAACGAATGGAAAAATGTAATTGCTGAAGCAAAAGTAGACGACGAGACGAGTGCGAGTGCGAGTGAAGAGCTAAGAGTGAAGAGTGGCGAGTGCAGACGTCGCCGCAACAACACCAAGCAACGTGCAAATGGCAAATGTGTCGCCGCAATGAATGATAATTAGTGCTTAATTAAAATCAATAATGTCGAAATCGAAAACCATTTCAATATTTGTGATATAGCATATATGCATACTTATATATACGTATATAAATACATATATATTGTAATTGTAATAGTAATTGTAATTGTAAATGCAATTGCATATCGAAATTGAGTGTTCATGAGTGTGAGTGGTTGTATGCGTGTGTTTCTATATATGTGCCTATTGTCTAATACAAAATGGAGGTTATTAAACCCATGGATTTTAGCAGCTTCTCCGCCTTTTGCGAGCATCTCAATAAATCAACAGCAGCCGTAACAACAGCAACAACGACAACTACAACATTAAACAATGGCATTTATTTGGAGGTAAAACTACAATGCAATGACAATTTATTGCATTAAATATTTCTGCATAATATAAAAATATAAAAACTTAATTAAAATAAAGGCAAATTGGCAAACGAAATAAATGTGAATGCAAAGAATGCGTGCAGAAAAAAAGCGCAAAAGCAAGCGAAGAACAAGCAGAAGCGAAATAAAAGTAACAACCAACAGCAGCGGTGGCTGTGGCGGCTCCGGCAGAGGTAGAGGTAGACACACAGCAGCAGAGGCAGCAGCAAGTAGTCAGTCGAGCCGCAAAGTTAAAACGAAATACAAAACAATAAATTTATGCCTATAGATTTCACATGTACAATCGTTGCCCACTTACACGGCCCCTGTAACTTACTCTCTTAAAACTCTCTCACATACACGCACACAGGGGCAAACAAATAAACAAACACACGTTAACCAGTTGGGATGGCTCAGCGTATATATGGTTGTGTATTTGTGTGTGTTCTGTGTGCTCATTTAAATTCGTTTTTGCCGCCTCTGTCTCTTCTACCCCATTTCGCCGCAAGTCAAGCCGTTGTCGTTGCCATTGCCATTGCTTTGCTACTTACTAATAATCATAATCAATCGCTCGCACTTGTATCGTGCAAATGCACGAAGAACAGGGGCGAATGCGAAGGCGTCGCGTCGCCTCTCGTCGCGTGGCGGGGCATGTCGTTTGCGCAAGCGAGACACAAGATGGTATAAGATACAAATAGGATAGAGTCGGATAGTAGGGGGAGTCATAGTAGTAGAAGAGGTCGCTCGTTGAATTTCCTTAGCTTCGGTTGCTTTGTCGTTTGTTTTTGTTTGTCTCCTCCTCCCCCTCTTTTATTTTTTGCTTGAAATTTGTATAGCGAAAAGCCGTTAGCCTGCATATATATATATAAATACATATAATATATATAAACACACACACAGTGCTGCCAACCTGCGCCAATTGGCATCCTTGAGGCCAGACTTGCCAACATGACTACAAGAGCAGCCCCCTTCCATTTTTAATGAGTTGACTGCAAGCGTCGTTTGCAGTTTTGTTGTTGTTTTGATTTGCATTCAAAAAACACATACACACATTTAAATAAATATACGTGTATGTATTGTACTTGTGTGTGTCGGTTTTTATTTGCAACCACCTGGCAACGCTGTCTAAGCAGTAACCGACTGACAGCCACATTTTAGGGGGCCCACTTCAACATTATTATTATTATCATAACTAACTGCACACACACACACATACACATAGTCAAATATGCTTGTGTGCGTGTCAGTGTGAAGAGAGCTTCTTTTTGCTGCTAGCCCGTGCAATTGGTCTCGCAGGATTCATTTGTTTTTGTCTCCGACTGCCTACGCTGCGTCTCTTGTCTCAACATTCGCCGTAGCCTTTGCCCTGTGTCCTCTGCCCTCTGCCCGTGCTCTATGTCGGACGCTCTAATAGGGGTGTAAAATGGACTTTTTTTACTTTTATTATTATGATTTTATTGTATTTCCAGTTTCAGTTTCTGTTCGCTCGTATTTAGTCGACGTCGTCGTCGTCGTCGACGTTGGCGTTGTCGTTGCTATTGTCTCTCATTTTGCCCCTTTGCTTTGGGCTTGCCATTCGCATTTTGTACTTTTCGCAAACATTTTTGTAATTTTTGAAAGGCTCGCGCGGCTACCAACCCCCTACACGACCATACATATACCTATATATGTACATATATATCAGTGAGGCAGCACCCACCCTTTATGCATCCCGTTATGTTGTTTCTGTGGATGATGATGATGATGAGGCGAGCAGTAGGAGGAGGGGTCCTGCTTTTAATTCTTTTTCAAATTGTGTAAATATTCGTAATGAATTTGAACTGCATTTGCTATTTAATACCCTAACCTAGTTAGAGCTCTTTTAAATATGTCAACAAATATGTGACACTATATATGTATATGCATAATAATAGATACATATGTATCATAATTACGTACATAGCATAGTCTATGTTTTTCAGATCGAACTGCTCTACATTATATAGAGTTTCCGTGTAGCAACAATTTCGCAAAGTTTTTTAATATGTCAATGATATCTTTTCTTTTTTGTTATGTTTTGCGTCTTTCTTAATATGAACGGGAAATCGGTAATCACACTGAATGATTATATCACTCCCTATATATATTTGTTATATATATATATACATTTGTATGGCTCTTGGTCTTATCTTATCTTTGGCCTCACTGTGCCTGACTTTTGGTATACGCATGAATGGGTAACGCTTGTAAAAGTAGCTAAGATTTTAATACTTCATGTCTGATGATGTCTTCTTCTTTAATCTATTAACGAGTCTCCACATTGAGTCAGCATTTAAATGACCAATGTGATTAATACACATGCACAAACAGAAAGCAAATCCATATACGAATATATGTAGAGAGCTAACAAAAAGATTAAAGTCAACTGAGTAATAATTATTGAGAATGTTTAGAGAATACGAAAAAAAAAAAAAATAATAAATTGTAATAGTATACTCGAGATACAATAAAAGAAAAGAAAAGCTCACAAGATATAAGAAAGCTCTATGTGAACTACTTGCGCATTAATTAAACGAACAACATAAGAAAATATTTTGTAAAGCGCTTAGAGGATTGGGAAAAAGACAAGTGTGACAGATGGGTATTACTTTAAATAGAAAATTTTAATAAATCACTAAATTCTCCATATACCAACTCGTATACCAACTCTGAAAGTGATATTTTCATTAGATAAGAAAGAGATAAACAAAGAAGCTATAGATTATAGGTGAGAAAGAAGCTTAATAGATTTAAAGATGTGGAGTATGCACGGAGGGAAGAATCTCAGAAGACATGGAGATGTGGCGTTTTTTTTTAGAGTACTAGAGTATTAAAAAACTTATCATTATAAAAACGATGTCTAACCTGATAATTGATATTTGTATATACTAAATAGTAGTACAGATAATAATAATAATAAGATATCTACTTTATTTAGATGTACAATTTATATACGGTTTATAAGTAGTATATTTATATATATACATATGTATTCTCTTTGCTGATCCAAAACTCACTCTGATTTTTGTAGAAAATGGAGCGCCAGGGTAAGATGGAGCTGGCGGCAAAGGAGCGTGAATCGCAGCGGCTACAGCTAATACCCAAGAAATGGAATCGTCGCGAGGAATATGAATTTCTACGCGTGCTTACCGGCTATGGCGTCGATTTGCAGCTGAACACGCCCATGGGCGGCAGCAATAGCAGCAGCAGCATCATCATCAATAGCAGCAGTGGCGCTAGCCACATGCCCGACTGGACCAAGTTCAAGCAGATGGCACATCTGGAAAGGAAGAGCGATGAAACGTTGAGTGATTACTACAAAGTTTTTGTAGCCATGTGCCGAAGGCAGGCGGGCTTAAAGCTCAGCGAGAACGAGCGTGGTCTTGAAGGCATTGTCGAAGAGGTGGAGAAGGAGCACGCCAAGCTCATTCTGGATCGCCTTGAGCTGCTGGCCAAGCTGCGCGAAGTAGCGCGTAATCCCCAGCTGGAGGAGCGACTCAAGTTGTGCACCATGAATACGGATACGCCCGATTGGTGGGAGCCGGGACGACACGATAAGGAGCTGATTGCAGCTGTGCTCAAGCATGGCCTCTACCGCTCCGAGACGTTCATCTTCAATGATCCCAACTTCAGTTTCTGCGAGTCGGAAAAGCGCTTCATTAGGGAACTGGAGGCCCAGATACAGCGCACCATCAAATTGGAGGCTTTCAATGCAGAAAAGGCGGCAGCAGCTGAAAAAGCGGCAGCAGCCGAAAAGGCAGCAGCAGCAGCCGCCGCAGCTGCAGCAGCAGTTAAACATGAGATCATCGATCTGGATGATGAGCTGTTGACCAAGGAGAGTGTCATCAAGAAGGAGTCGCCAGTTAAAGCTGAAGTGAAGCCAGAACAAAGTGCAGACAAGGCTGAGGTCGAGGAGTCAAACGAAGAGAAACCAACAGCAGATAAGATGGACGTGGAGAACGTTGAAGAGAAGGCGGCAGACAAGGAAACATTGCCGGATGAAGCTAAGCTAAGCAGTGAAGCTGCTGAAGACGCTGAAGAGCTGTCCGCTGCCAAGACAAATGAAGCTGAAGCTGAAACTCCAGCTGAGGCCGAAGCGACGGAGGCCAAGTCCAAGGAGCAGGCTGAAGAGAAAATGGATGTGGATGCAGAGCCAATTGCAGAAAATGGCAATGAAAAGGAAGCAGAAACAGAAGCCGTTGCCATGGCCGAAGCAGAGAAGCCAGCTGAAAGCCTCAACGACGAAACTGCGGAAAAGGAAGAGGAGAAGAAGCCAAGTGACAAACAAGCAGAAGACGACTCCAAAATGGAAACAGAATCCGTGAAGTCAATTGTAGCTGAGGAAAAGGAAGCAACTGAGGCGCCAGCTACGGAAAAGGACGATGAAGCAGCAGCTGCCAAAGTTGAGGGCGAGAAAGGCGACGAAGCAGTCGTCGAAGCTGTCAAGGACACGCCGGAGAAGGAGAAGGAATCAGCTGCAGCTGAAACTATTGAAACTGAACCTAAAAAAGTTGAAGCCGAGGCAGAAGTCAGCAAAGCAGATGAGATTAAGATTTCGAGCAGTGTGGAAAAGCCAGCAGCGGAACAGGAGATACTTGATCTGGTGGCTGGGCCCAGTGATCCGGATGATGATGAGGTCATGAAGGAGAAGGAAAAGGCTGTCGAAGAGGAATGCAAAAAGCAAGCAGCTGAACTCAAGGCGCGTTTCCCCGATCTTGAGGTCATTCAGCCGGCGGCTGTGAAACAGCAAAAGCTGGAGAAACCGAAGCTAGAGATGTGCATGATACGTTGGTTCAAGGACTTCGCTCTAGAGCGACGCATCGCACACATCGTGGTCTGCGTGGAGACCAACAAATGGCCAGTGGATAAGCACTATAGCGCCTTTGCCGGCTTGAAGGGCAACACAGATCTAAATATAGCTTTGCATGAGTCCATACCGCATTTGAATAGCAGCGAGCGACGCTCCACAACGCCCGATGTGATAACCATAACGACGGATCAGGGTGTTACGAAGCACTTGCAGGCTTCGCAGATGCAACAGGTGGCCAGCAGTGCAGGTGTCGTCTCTGCCACCAGCAATGTCCAAGCATTGCCCAAGGCACAGGTATCAACGCCAACAACGTTGCCTGGCCTGGATGCGAACAGCATTAATGCAGCTGTGGCAGCTGCTGTAGCAGCTGCAGCCAGTGGCGGCAATGCCACATCCTTGTCAGCTTTGCTGCCGGGCATGTCGCTGAGTGCGGCTACTGCGGGTGCAAGTGCGGCAGCAGCAGCAGCTGTTGGGGCAGCTGGTCTAAATGTGCCCAGTGCTGGAACCTTAGGCTCGAATGCGGGCAAGAAGCGCAAACGTCACATTGCCATCGACGTGGAAACGGAGCGTGCCAAGCTGCATGCGCTGCTCAACAGCTCGTCAAGTAAGTAGCTGAGAAATTGAAGAGAAATTACAGATCTTGGACATGACAACTAATCTCTTTCAATTTCTGCTCTCGTTTGCAGTGGCTCCCAAAGATTGGGAAAGCGAAATAGCCAATATGGAGGCGTTAACTGGCGCTGCAGGTCGTCGTGGTGGTGGCTCAGGCTCTGCTGCCTCTGCCGCCGCTTTGAGTGGCATGCAACCACCGCCTGCACATCAGCATGCCTCACTATCACGTCAATCCTCCGGTCAGTTTAATAAGCCCGCTGTGCCCGCAATGAAAACGCCGCCACCATCAATGGGCGCGCCCATGGATTTGTCCTCAAGGTGCGTAAGAACTTAATACCCTGAAACAGCTCGTCCAATACTATCCAGTTCACATATATTAACTCTCTCATCATCAACTCTACACAGCAGCCTGCCCAAGATGAATATGACAGAGATGCTGAAGTCGGCTTCCAGCTCGGGCGCCATTGATCTAAGCGAAGTGCAGGACTTCTCGATGCCCTCCAAGAAATCGAGTGTGCACGCAGCGCTCAGCTCCGCCTTTCCATCAATGGCGGGCAGCAAAAGCAAGCTGGATGATACGCTCAACAAGCTAATGAAGAAGAACAATTGCGTAAGTGTTGACTCGATATAGAACCGAAAGAAACTGAAGATTAATTATATATTTATATATCTTACACAGACCATTGAGGAGCCCGTCATTGGCAAGGAGAAGAAACGCAAGAAGCTGGATGAAATTGTCTTGGGCTTGTCGGCTGCCAAGGAGCAAAAGACTTTCCCAGATCCCTCATTACCCTCGTCGAAGAAACCACAAATACCGCCCAGTGTATCGGTGACGCCGGCCAATCTTCAAGCGCCCAGCCAGCAACAATCCAATCAGAAACCATTTACCATCACTGTGACGACAGTGCCCGGAAGTGAGTTGGAGTCTCTGCGCTTTCATACTCTAAACAAGCCAAGCCGGAGGCGTTACATTAAGCCATCAAAAACTAACTTCTCCAACTCTCTTGTTTTATCCTTTGTAGAGTCCAAGAGCGGCGGCCAAGGCAGCAGCAGCGGCGGTGGAGCCGGCGCCAGCAGCTCCTCGGGCAGCGGCCTCAGCGCCTTGCAAAACATGGCCATGGGCGGTCTGTCCAGCAAGGACAGCCTGAATGCTCTGCTGGCCCAAACAATGGCAACCGATCCACAATCGTTCCTCAAGCAGCAGCAGAAGATGATGCAGTTCCTGCCGCCATCACAGCGCAAGGCCTACGAGAATATGCTCGCCGAAATGGAGCAGGCAATGAAGCTGAGCTGCAAGTTCAACTCCTCGCACGATGTCAAGGTCAACAAATGGCTTTCGGACATGTCCAGCCCGCTGGGCGATCAACTGAGCATTGATTATGTTGGAGCAGGAGCTGGCGGCAGCGGAGGAGGAGCTGGCAGCAGCAACAGTCGTCGCGGCAATCGGGGTCAACAGAGCAGCTCGAGTGCCCAGCAGGCGGCCAATGCGGCGCAGTTGCAAAAGCAACAGCAGCAGCAGCAACAACAGCAGCAGCAGCAACAGCAGCAACAACAACAGCAGCAACAACAGCAACAGCAGCAGCAACAACAGCAGCAACAGCAACAATCGATGGCTGGTCCGCAAGGCCTAACTGGAGAGGAGCCCGTGCCGGTGATCAACAAGCAAACAGGCAAGCGACTCGGTGGCAATAAGGCGCCGCAACTGAAGCGCCTGATGCAGTGGTAAGTGTAAATCTACAAAGATAAGTAGATGATGAGCATACATAATGATATGTTCCCACTCTTTGTGGCTTGCAGGCTCACCGAGAATCCCAACTATGAGGTAGATCCCAAATGGCTCGAACAGATGCAGAATCCGATGTCAGCGCCTTCGCCCAAGCCCAGCGTTAACACTATGGACAACAGCAACAGCTACGGCGTTTCCAAGTCGCATGGTGGACGTCCATCGTCTAATTCGAGCAACGCCTCCTCCAGCAGTCACACACAACAGCCGAGCGCTGCTCAATCGCCGGCTGGCAATTCGAGTGGTTCCTCGAAGAAGTCGTCGAGGCAGTCACAGTCGGCGGCAGCCTTGGATCAGGCGGCGTTGCAGTTCGGTTCGCTGGCTGGCCTCAATCCCAGTTTGCTGGCCAATCTGCCCGGTTTGGGTGCCTTCGATCCGAAGAATCCGCTCGCCGCCTTCGATCCGAAGAATCCGCTGCTCTCGATGCCATTTGGCGGCATGCCCGGTATGAGCAATATGCCCGGCTTGGGCAATCTCAACAATATGAATCTGTTCGCCAGTCTGGCCGGCATGGGCGGATTGGGTAATCTAGCCGGCATGGATGCCCAGTCACTGGCTGCGCTCATGGCTGCTGCGGGACCAACGCTTGGCGGCCTCACAGGCAGCACAAACGCGGGCACCGGCAAGAGCCAGTCGCAGTCCAGTGCTGGGGGCAACTCCTCCAGCGCCTCGTCCTCATCGGCGGCCAGCAAGAAGAAACAACAACAACAACAGAACGAAGCCGCTCAATTGGCAGCCGTTGCTGCCGCCGCTGCAGTCAACAGCAGCGGAGCGGGCAGCTCCTCGGGAGGCAAGAATTCGAACGCCTCTGCATCGCAACTTGCAGCCGGATTTCCATTCCTTTTCCCGAATCCCTCGTTGCTGTATCCACCCATGGGCCTTGGTGGCCTCAATCCGTATTCGCTGGGCACCAGTGGACTGGGCTCGGCATACGATCAGCTGGCGCAGCAGTATAATCTGCTAAATGGTGTAGCCACCTCGTCAGCAGCTGTCACCGGATCCACGCAGTCGGGCAAGTCGCATCAGTCGCAGTCGAGCAAATCGAGCAATTCACGTAATGCCTCCAACTCGGCGGCGAATTCGGCAGCGAATCTGATGAATGCCATGGCCAGCATGAGCGCCAATACGGTGACAACGCCATCCAGCTCGAGTTCCAGTCGCAGCCGCCAGAGCAGCAGTCAACGCAACTCTGCTGCCTCAGCCACGCCCAGTGCCGCGGATATGGCACAGTTGTCCAGTCTACTAATGCCTGGTGCCGATCCTCATTTGCTCGAATCGCTCAGTCGCATGAGCAGCATGGATTTGGCACAAGCCACCCGTCTCATGAGCTCTTTGGGCATGCCTCCGCTACCCACGCCCAGCAGCTCGAACAGCAACAGCACCAGCAGTTCCAGTGCCGCCAGCAAACGTGCTGCTGCAGCAGCTGCTGCCAACGAAGCATCCGCCAAGGAGCAACAGAAGTGGTTCGAGAGCATTGCCCGTGGTGCATTGCCAACGGATCTGGCTGCACTACAGGCCTTCTCGCAGGGCAAAATGCCGAGCACATCATCCGTTAGTTCGAACAGCGGTAGCGGCGGCGGCTCCAGCTCGGCCAGCAAAAGCTCCAAGTCGGCAGCAGCTGCCGCTGCAGCAGCCGCAGCTGCAGCTGCTCAAATGCCTCAAATCCCAGGCATGTCCAGTGAATTCTCACAGGCGCTGCTCGCTGAGATGGCCGCTCAGGCGATGGCAGCTGCCGGCGGCTCGCTGCCATTGAGTGGACCTGGTTCGCTAGCCAGTCTAGCTGGCCTAACAGGCGGCTCATCCTCTTCAGCTGGCGCTGGAGGTGGCGGCGGCGGAAGCAGCAGCAGCAGTTCGGCTGCCAAGCGACAACGCGAACAGGATGCATTCAAACAGCAAATGGACTTCTATACCAAGTCCTTGGGACTGGGCTCGGGCATCTCGCTGATACCCACCTCTTCGTCGGGCAGCAGTAGCAGCTTGAATGCTGCCGCCGCCTATGTAGCCGCTCTGGATGCAGAGCATCTGCAGCAGCAGCAACAACAGCAACAGCAGCAACAACACAAATCGAAACGTGCACGCAGCGAGCTGCATCCCACGAAGGATGAGCTGGCAGCTGCTGCTTTAGCTGCTGGTTTGCCTCTCAATTTGGGCGCCAGCATCGAGAAAAGTTTGCGCGGTGTCAGCGGCTCCAGCAGCTCCTCAACGCCAGCGCCGCCAACACCCACGCCTGAGCAGGATAAAGTGACGCTGACGCCGTTGAATGCGAGCGCCTCGAATGCAGCCAATGCGGCAATTGCAGCGAATCTGCCATCACAGACAACGATCACAATTGCACCGCCCATCAGCAGTGGCGCCAGCACCAGCAGCGAACGATCGGAACGCAGTGAATCACGCATTTCGTTGACCATAACGAATGCAGCTGATGCCGCTAAACTGCCGCCTCCCTACGAGGAGGCCGACGAGCTGATCATTCAGCCCATACTTAAGAAACCCGCCGCACCGGGCAGCAGTCATGGCGGCAGCGTTGAGGATCTGGATGCTAGTGGTGCAGCTAATAATTCGGTGGCCAATTTGAGTGGTTCCAGTAGCAGCAGCTCCTCCGTTGCCGCTGCAGCGGCAGCAGCAGCTGCTGCCGAAGAAAATCGACGCTCTTCCAATCGTCTAAAGCGTCCGCGTTCCGGCAACGAATCCGAACAGCCCCCAGAGAAGCGACGCGAGCTGCGTTCCACGCGTCACACACGTCAATCGGCAGATGCTGCAACCCTAAATCTATCAGCGGGCAGCGAGTCTGAGGACCGGAATGAATGAGTAAAGCGAAGCGCCTAGCCAAACGACAGCGCCCCGCATGTGGGCGTCCGAACCAGACAGGGCAACAGCAACAGCAACAGCAACTGCAACAAAAACAACACTAAGAAGAAGAATATAAATACGAAACCTAAAGCTGAAAACGCTAAAAACAAAAACAACAAGCAGAAGCAAAAGCAAAAGCAAAAGGAAACACAAAAACAACAACTCAAAAAGGCCACCAAGCAGAGTCGAACGAGAAATGCGAATGGCAACGGTAACGGTAACGGTAACGGAAACGGAAACGGACGAGCAGCGGCTAAAGCTGAGACAAGAAACGCACGCAAATTGAACTCAAGGCTAAATGTAACAAGCAGATGCACGCGAACTAGTTCCAATGCGAGAACCAGAACAAGAGCGCGTATTAGTGCGAATAGAAGTAGTAGAACACTTAAGCTTAAAGTTGTGTAAAATATAAGTAAACCCCCAACAGACACACACATACATACATATATATATATATAAATATGATATATATATATACGTATATATATAAACATTGATAGAGTAGAGCTAGTAGCTTGAGTGGGATGCAGCTGCTGCAACAGACACCCGAGTGTTGAATGCTTCCGTGTGCCACAGTTGCTGCTTGTGGCAACACAATCGGGGCAATCACACTTCAGACACCTGTTTATGCATACCCAACTCAGCTAAGAAGATGAAGAAGTTGCCCGGCAATTGTCGCCATAGCCAGCCACGCCTACACATCTCAACCAACCACGCCCTGCTGCAACAATGGCGTGGCCTGGACGCGATGGGCGTGGCTGGATTGCGACGTTTGTCGTGCGAGTATATTAAAAAAAAGCGCTTATAATTTAATTGTAACAATGTGGAGGTGGGCTTCGGTCGGTGGTGCGTGTCAAGATGAGGCTTGCTGCTGCCGAATTGACTGCCACGCCCCCTATTCTAGGCCCACAACACAAGCAGATAAATAACGGTTTAAATTATTGCAAATTATTATTGATAAAAAGGTTAAGCAAAGGAAAAACAAAAACAAAAACGAAAACAAAAAAATCATGTTTAAACAAAAAAAAACTAACTTAAAAGCAGATTGATTGATTAACAAGACACACATACACACCTAAACACCTATTATGATGTATACACACACATATATACAGATATATAGATATAGTTTAATTGGGTTCAATGCTGTCGTCCTTCACAAGAGTTAAACTTAATCACAAAAACAAAACAAAACAAAAAACAAAAAAAAAAAAAAACGAAAAAACAACCTGTACATATTTTAGTATCTTTAATGGATCTTTAATCGTATCAAGTCGGATCGTATCAGTGTCCCAATTCATGTATTTCTCAACCAATTTGTTTCCACTTTATTATATATATATATATATATTGAAATGAATATGTGTGTGTATGTGACCTAAGCCCGAACTATGTTTTTTTTACTTGATCGTCCTATGCCTATGTTAAACTATTTTATGTACTCTGCATGTTCTATATATATATATATATGTATAATATATATATATATATATATATATATATATATATATATATAGATATTGACATTGTCGTCAAATCGCTTTTAATTTTCATTAATTTTAATTTTATGTAATTAGTAAAACAATTTTATATTGCGTAAGTTTTTAATTTGTATTTTGTATGTTTTAAAAATGAATTGAAACAAAGCAACAACAACAACAAATCAGCAAACAAAATTGATAAAAAGAACAAAAAATGTTTATTAACAAATTGAAATACAATATTTATGCGTAAATGTATTGCATTTTCAATTCATATATATATATATATATACATATATATATATATATATATAAATTAAATGGAAGTACATTATTTTTGTTTGCACTTCGATCCATTAAACTAAACAAAAAAATATTTAAAATAAAATAAAATAAAAAGTAAACGAAACAAAAACAAAAAGCAGTTGCACCAACAGACAAGAGCAAATAACAATTTAAATTAGAGATGCTAAGTATAAATCTTAATTAAAGTATGATAATTAAACAAACACAACTACAGCAACAACAACAAGATAAATATATGAAAAATAAATTTCCAAAATTACAAAAACATTTTTACTTTTCATTGCAAATGGAATTTAAATTTTAAACAAGTAACAACACTTTAGTTGCCCAAACTCGAGGTTACCTTGAACCCAGTCCTATTTGCATTGCTTAATATTTTCCATAGCTCACTTCGAGCATTAAATAAAGGCAAATAACGCCAAGACCCGAACCAACAACTCCTTCTACGGCAACCTCCATTTCATATTTAAAAACATAGAAAAACTAAACAAAATCCCCATGCCAACGTCAAGTGCCACTAAAAAGTGTTTGAAAATGTTTTCTCTGAATGAATTTGAATTTAAATTGTAACGAGTTCCACAACGTAGAACTTTTAAGAATCTGTATTTAACCAGCCCAGTTGAAAGTCCTTTAATATCGAACCAAATCATCGAAAAAATGAGACTTCAGTTGGTGTTTACTACGCAATTTATAGATTTATATATGCTTGTATATTCACAGTAATTGAGTTAAACTTAATTAGAGGCAACAGAAGCTGCTTTTAGCATTGCGTTAAATTAAAATTTCAATTTATAAATTGACATACAGACACAGGTCTAATTCTAACTTCGCTGCTCAAATATCGTTTTAGTTGTGCCGATCGCTTAAGCCAATGGGGGATGTGGGGATGAGGGATAAGAACTTACAATAAATACAAAAAACGTACAAATATATGCATGTATAATATACAATATATAAATCGGTGCATTAGCAGTTAAAGCACTTTAACGGTGGAGTCCCCCCCTCCAAAAGAAGGGGAACATCACCTCGACACGAGAGTAAACTTTGAGTCTTAAAGGCTATATATATATATAATTTGCGCATAATTTTGCCCTCGGCTTAGTTTTGGCTTAGTTCCTATATGTAATTTAAATATAGGGATCGCTCCAGCGCCTCCTCGAGCAACTCATCGTTGCGACGCTTCTCTTCGGGCGTTAGTTCGCCCAGCTCATCGAAACCGTCGTCCGAGTAGGCAGGCTCCTCCTCCGGTCGCTCCTCGCCATCCGCCGGGGGCAGCAGCGGCTCGCCAATGATGTGGCGTATATCATTGGGTAACGCCTCGGATCCCTTCAGCTGCAAATAAATGGCCTCCGCTGTTTCCAGAGTACGCTTCAAGTCGATGGTGCCGGTTAGTTCGTTGACATGCTTTAAGATTTCAGTGAATTCATATTTCCTATCGATAATCACGTTCGTCTCCTGATCGAGTATGGCCACCGAGATGAGCAAGTGGAAGTTGGCACAAGGCAGACGCGTCCACAGGCACTCCCACAGCTTGAGCACGTCGTCATTGTCCAGCTCTCGCTTGTACCAGACGAGCAGCCAACGGAAGCAGAAGTACATGTTGTCCGAGTCGTGACTGCACATGTAGTTGAAGAGCGGCGCATTGGCAACCTCGAGCAGTCGGCGCAGCTGCGCAAACTGCGTCTTCATGCCCGCCTGGTCAATGTCAAAATTACTGAACACCATGTTCATGAAGCCAACGAAACACCAAAAGGCATCCACCTCATTCACCTGTATCTCGAGTATGGGCGCTAGCAAATCAGACATGCCTTGGACATAGCCCAAATCGAAATTGTACATAACATACGTCATGAGTATGCCCTGGAGTAGCATCAGATTTGGATTATCCTCGCCGGCAAAGAACTGTTGCGAACGATCCGTGCGCTTTACATCCTTCTCGATTTGGCACTTGCGGTCGCGATAGCCGCAAAAGTTAGATTCTTGAGTCGTGGACATGGACAGCCATTGAGCCTTCATTTTATAATATTCCAACGATTTTAGTTTGCGCCGTTCAATGCGCTCTACTTCCGTGTCAGACCATTGATAATAGTTTAGTAAGTATTTCCAGACTTCGGCCCGCAGACTGGGCACAATGCCTCCTCGAAAGATGATATCCTTAATACGCAGGCTGTCCACGATGCAACCATCACGGGTTTGAAATTCCCGCCACTGAGCCTCATTGAGCGGTTGACCTAAAAGCGAAGATTGCTGTCAATTAAATTGGACAATCTACCATAATTAGCGATTACATACCACGGTGCACGCTCTGGCGTGCTGGCAGATTGTTAACTATTTTCTCATCCTGAGCATTCAGGTTCTCCAGTTCGCTGTCCGCTGGCGATTTGTCGGCGCTCTCGCCGCGACTTTGACTGTTGGAGGAGCAGGCGCTGTTCGTGCTGCCGCTTAACTTAATGAACTGATAGTTGTCCGAGGGCGAGGTTTGGCGATCGTTGTGCCCTAGTGAACCAGGACGTGATTTCGGCGATCGCTGAAACGACGGCTGCACATAGTCCGGTATGGTGCCAAGGAAGCCAGCCAACTTGTTGGGCAGCCAGCTCTCTCTGGGCAATTGGCTGGCCTTGATCTCGCCAATGTCCAGTTCGGCGAAGGTCTTTTTGAGCTTCTGATTCTCCGTGGTCAGTATGGCATACTCCTCGCTGCCACTGCGACTCGTCTCGGAGCTCTCAATGAAATGCTGCTGGCGCATGGAGCGCACAAACAAATCTGCGTTTCCATGCTGAAAGAAGAACTCGCAGTGCACGCTGTTATCGGACTTACGCATAAATCTAATGGTCTGACCTCGATGCCGCACCTCAACGGCAGCCAAATCATCTAGTAATGCGCGCATTATGCGAGCACGTGCTGTTGCTGCATTTCCATTGCTGCCGAGCTCAGCGGGCTTTGTGTTGAAGGCGCTGCATTCGGATGTGGTGCGTGTACGACCCGATATTCTATCCACCAGCGCCCAATCACCCTGATCCTGGCTGTCGTCGGCTATCATAATGCTATCATTGGGCTGCCACTCCAGATACAAACGACGCCTTGGCTGGCTGTACTCCACCAAAGACAAAGAGCCGCTGGTGTTCAGATCGGCAATATGTTCGGCATTCGCTTTCTTCAGCAGCACGCCATCGTGAGTGCACAGCACCTGCACACAATTAACAAATATGTGGGCATTTAATATAAATATATGAGTCAGTGTTAATGAACAAAGACTTTTAGGGGCAGAGACGTTTAACTTACGTTACCAATGCCCTGTGGTACATCCGATTCGGATGCTTTGATACCCTCTTGCGATTCGGATAGCACGCCCAGCTGTATTTGCTGGCAGCGCTCATAGCGCACCGATTCGTTCATAGCGGCCAGCCGTTTCGATTTTTTTGCAAAAGGTAGCAATAAAAAATTTTCAGCAAATTATTACGTTCTAGATATAAACAATTGAAATTTGGATAGAAATTTGGTGTGTACACACTGCACAAATGTGGCGATGCCAACTTATTGCAGTTAAGTAGTGATAGGCTTTTGTTTAATGTAAACAGCTATTTAGTATTTATTTAAGCGTACTGGCAACTCTGGCGTGCTGTTACACTCTTTGATTCTAAGAAACTAAGAGTCTCTTATTTTTTTTGGTATTTTGCTTCAACTCTGGCAACTCTGACGTAATGTTAAATTTAAAGAGGAAATACGTTACATTAAAATTGTCACCACGATTAAATGGTAATTAAAATTTAAACTTTAAGCTTATATTCTATTCTTATTGTAAATTATTTAAATGTTAATTTATTTTATTTTATTTTTTTTTTGAATATTATTTTTCCTTTGCTATTGTTTTTTGTCACAGTTTTTTTCTGCATTCTGAACTGAAATCTTTCTTTGATATAATAAGCCTCATCATTTCATTGTGCATATTTATAAAGATTTTGAAATAACTTGCAACACAATTTAAATTAAGTCACATCATGGCCAACAGCTCGCGACCAATTGATCGAGAGCGAAAGTAAATTTGTGCACTCTACACACATGGGCCATATGACACTCAATAGTTAATGATCAGTTCAACAATTTTTGGCTTGATAGCTTGGTAGCGTATGCCGGAACAGGCACGTTCGATGATTCTTTGAAAATCGGTGGCATTATGTGTGTACCACACATATTTTTCTCGAGTTTTGTAAATAGATTAAAAGTGCCTCATTTGTTTTTCTGTGTGTGTGTGTGTGTGTGTGATAAGTGCAAGTTTCGTTTTCCCGAATGGCGCCCGAATCGATATTCGTACGAGCATTCGAAAACAATCTTCAGGCAGTTTTTGAACAGATTTTGGACGAGCGTTCAGTGTGCAATCTGCGAGTTCGGCGTTCAAAACGTTTTCAAAACTTTTCGCGCTGTTCAAGAAAAAAGCAAAGAAAAAGCATTTTAGGACAATTGAAATTGAATATTCACAGGTGGGTGAATTTATCCATGTCGGCCACTGGCTGCTGACCCAATGCTCCAAGGCCTTAAATACAATTTGGCAAAGCTCAATTTCGAATTGCCATTGAAAGCAGCCAGAGATTAAATTGGTTCAAATCATCAACTAAAAAACAAATCTATTGTTCCTTTGTGTTATGCGAGGATTATATAATACTTAATAATGTCAACAAAACTTATCCCAAGTGCCAAGAGATAGTGGAACTTGAAAAAGTATCTGTACTTAAAAATTAGCCTTTGAGCAGCATAAACAGTTTAAATGGTTTTTTTTTTTAGAAATGGTACATAACATATATATATATACATATATATATACATATATATATATATATATATATATATATATGCTGATCTATCTGCTGAAAACATGGCCACCGAGTTTTATCAATGAAAAACAACAAAAAATGATACGAGCTATCGTGCTCAGAGCACACAAGTTGAATCCGAATCGGTTCTTGATTCGCATGCCAACAATTTACACGACATTACGCCCTTTATAGAGATCATTCTCATTCGATCGTGTGATATCCAACGCCAGCTCTCCCACACGCATTGGCTCTCAGAATCTTGCTCCGACACAGTCAAATCGTTTCTTATTTTTTTTTATCGAGTGAAAACAACGGCAAAAAACATGAAAATTCTGTTCGGCATTCGTGGACAAAAATAGCGCCACCCACCCAAAATAAGAAAATGTTTTGAAACTGAATTTGCCTTACAGCGTATTTCGGGTCGATTGCATTAATTATGGATGAGCAATAACCTGGGCCAGGGGAAATGTTTACGATGAGCATGAGAATTTATTTTAAATATATCTTTTAATTACAGTTGGCAGTCATGGAAAAATCGTGTCGCCCCAAGCGCAATCGTAGGCACAGCAGGTGAGTGAAAGCTGAGAGAAACTGAAGCAATTCTATCGTAGCTTATGTCGAAGAGTGTGAGTTTCAGACGTGCCTGGCCGCCAGAGGATGACCTGCATTTGGCACGAACTACGAAGCGTTTGTTTACGCCCGACATCAAGCGCATGCTGAAGGATTGGCTGATACGACGACGCGAGAATCCGTATCCCAGCAGAGAGGAAAAGAAGCAGCTGGCCGGCGAGACGGGCCTAACGTATACACAGATCTGCAATTGGTTTGCCAATTGGCGGCGCAAGCTAAAAAACTCGGAGCGTGAAAAAGCGAAAAAGTCGTGGGGACATTTGATCAAGAACTACAATCACAATGCACGCGGCAATGTGGAACAGTTTAGCATCTCGTCCGAGGATAGCATTTGGGAGGAGGACATGCGTGTGTGTGCAGCCGAAGATGACGAGGGCGACGACGACGACGACGAGTTGTCCAGCCGCAGCACAGGCAGCGATGGCAATGGCAATAATGCCACCTCCAACTACTCGTCGCCGGCATACAAGCCCAATTTCTATGTGGAATCCGAGATGCAGCACCAGCAGGTCCACCAGCAGCAAAGCGAGCGCGTGCCCTTATTGCCCACTGTGCCGGCTGGCAAGGCCAAGTACAAGCAGCAGATGATGGAGAAATATCTGCGTGATAGCAATGCTCTGGATGCGAGTATGTCGACGGCTCCAAGAGACAGCACTGGCAACCAGTTGAACAAGTGGCTGGAGAGTGCTGCTAGGTTCACGCCCGACAGGCACAACTATCACTTTGAGTGGAATACGAGCAGGTAAACCAAGTTTAGTACAGCGACTGCTACTCTATGCTAAATACGTTGCTTTTCCATAGACACAAATGCGTTGGGCAGGATCGACCGGTGCAGAGCGAAATGTTGTTCACCAGCGATGCCACTGCTGCGGCACGTGGCGAACGCTGGTTGTTGCATCACAAGGACGAGCTGGATGCCGCCGAGGCGTTAGCGAATTTGGCCTTTAACTGCAGACAGCGCTGGCAACATCACATGGCAGCCACAATAAGCTCCTAGGACGACATTCCAGGCCGTTGGAAAAGTGCAATCTAGTCAATAAGCTCTAATTTATATGTAGTATGAAAGACAAATGAGGAATATTATTTTCTTTTCGCTGTTATTGTTAATTAACAATTGTAACTTATGTCTGCGTCTCCTGCTCCGACTCCTGTTTTTGATTCTGAGCCTGCTCCTGCCCCTGCTCCTGGTTGCCCTTAGCGTGCACGTCCAACACTTTGATTAGATTGCATTGGTGCGCCTGGAGCTGCTGCACCACATTGCCCGCTGCCATGTTCAGCGTCTGCACCAGCTGCGCCTGTGCCGCCTGGAGTCCAGGCATCTGAGCAAAGTCCATCAGCTCGTTGCGACTGAGCAGCGTCTGCTCCACAATGCCACCCAGCAACACCATTTGCGGCACCTTGCGGGTCAGTCGCAGCAGGGCGCCCACTCGCTGCTGATCGGGCGAAAACACAATGCAATGGTTGGAGTGGAACAGGGGCAGAATAGCTTCGTATTGCGTGCCGGCTACAGCTTGTGCAATGATCTTCCGGCCATAGGCTTTGAGATGCAAGTTCTGCTTGTGCAGCTGCACGCGTACCCGAAAGATCTCGTCCGACGTTATGGAGTTCAAATGGTAGATGGCCACCAGCTTGGAGTGATCCAGCCAGTTGCGCACCTCACGGGCTATGATTGCATTGTAGGGATTGTCCACTTGAGCGCCCATACGTTCCGCTCGCGACTGAAAGCAGGTGAGTGCCTGTGATACTTTGGGATATTTGGGCTGCGTGACGGCAATAACGCGGGCACGCTCATAGTGCGGATCCTTGGGTCGTTGTATATTTATTTTGCCACGAAAGCGCAGGAACTGCAACAGCGGTCCACGAGCCGATGTGAGAGGCAGGCCTGCAAATGGGCAGCGCGTAAATAAATGAATTGTATAATCACACAGGTGCTGCTGCTAACATCAAACGTGCTTGCGGCTAGTACGCTTACCTTGCTGTATAAGACTGGACATTTTTGAATACAATTGGCGCTAATATATAACTACGTTTATTTACTATTATCTAATTATTAACAATAATAAACTTAATAATCAGCGGGCCGAACGTTTTCCGCAATAATTATTTCGATAGTAAAACAGTTGTATATCGATAACATAAAATGCGTGCAAAGCAGCTGTTGCTGTTATTGTTTAATGTTAGTAACAGCTCAATGTTAAAAGAATCAGTGATAGCAGCGCATCCAACCGTTCCCAAAACTATTAAGCTGAAAGTGTTCCCGAAGCTGGTAAGTCGATTTGAATAAAATATTCATCTATCATCTTACTTTATTATAGCTTAACAACTCGGAAGTGTTACTAATATATTAATTTGACTCCCTGTTGCTGATGTTAAAATTGCTTTAGAGAAAACTTTAAATATAATACATAACATTCACAGACTGTTCTCATTTAGGCCAAACTTGGAATCTCAAAAAAAATGTTGATACCCCATAGCCCCTTAAACTCTATCCATAGGATCACCATTCTATTAGCTGCCGACCAAATATCAACAAAAGTTTCACACATAATGCATAGGTATAGAATTTATTTAATTACAGGTATAACATTAACATCTATATATATAAATATATATAAATATATATATATATATATATATATATATATATATACATGCGTGTTGTGTTTTATATATATATATATGTATATATACTATAAGTTGCATTTCGCTAGTGGATCTTGTGGGCTGATAACGGTCTATCATCGAACAACCAACAACTATTGTGAACGAACTGGATTTGGACGTTGGGGTAAAGTTGAATTAGTTGAAAAATAAATAAAACGAATCATTTAACAGAAAAAGTTTATTGAATTGGTTTATTAATTCACTTAGAAATAAGTGTAATTTAATCGTTTTCTTCATTAATTAACTTAAAAATAACTAAAAATGTCTTAAAACAATAGCGTTTCATCTGTTCTTCTTGTGTTTACTGACAAAAATGGTTTTTTCTTTTTTCTCTTCTCTTCTTTTTTCTTTCTTGCGATTTTTTACTTCTCTGATCTCTTTCTCATAATCGTAATATATATATATATATTTATATATATTTGTTTTTGTTTGTTTATCGTGTTATATAATGTACAGAGTTTAGTTTTAAAACATACAACTAAATACGCGCTAAACACTAATTAAACTGTATTTACATTTACATGAATTATCGTTTAGACGCTAAATAATTTAAATATTTTACACATTTCTTTTTGCTTTTACTTTTATAATTTTTCCATTTTCTTTTCTTTTCTTTTTTCTTGTTTTTTTTCTTCGTCACATAATTTACAAGTGGGTGTGAAAACGTTTAAGTTTAAGGAGTGTACAGAGGGGGACATTTTTATCTATATATATATTGATATATATATATATATAATTATATAAATATATATATTTATATGTATATATATAAGTATGTGTGTATGTGTATATACGTTCTACCTGCCTCGCAGTTTACAAAGTTTCATGCTCAAGAACTAAACATTTAAGAAACATAAATAGAACACCCAACTTTGCTTGAACTAGTTTCATGTACAGTGTTGTGGCAGTGATGGTGTTGTTGTTGTTGTTGTAATAGTTGTCGCTGTTTCTGTTTGACTGTAATTTTTCAAGCAAAGAGTGTAAATAGTGAAACAAGCGACACAAAGCAACGACAACGTCGCCGTGCGCCGCTTGCAAAAGCTAAAAATTGAAGCAACAGAATCGAGAGGAAAACTTGTCTCTAAACGTTAAAATATTTGGCTTAACACATATTTGTTTATAATTAAATAGATATTTAATAAATGTAATTTATATATATGTAGTTGTATGTGTCTAATGTATGTGTATAAGTGTGCTCGTATATAAATGTGTATGCGTGTGTGTGTATGTGTGTAATCTACTTGTTATTTTGTTTGTAATTGTAGGAAAAAGCCTCTGGGCGCATCTTTAAACCTAATTGTGCTTAACAGCAGTTGGCGACAGGTGGCGCTTGCGGCGTTCTTCGGGTCAATGCGATACGTGCGGCTAAGGCGCGCAACACATGGAGCCGAGGAACAAAATTGAAATTGAAATTGATTAAGAAATAAAAATAGAAACGAAACTTAATTAACAGCGTTGAAACTTTGTAAAATGCGGGCGGTAACTGAGTATATTTGTATGTGAGTGTGTATCTGCGTCTGTGTGTGTCAAGTGTTGTTCACCAATCATAAACTTAAACGTGTGTTGTTTCATATCTTTTCGAATAGGGATAGTAGGTATATATGCTTGTATGTATGTATGTATGGATAGTAAGTAGTATGTAGTACAGTAAACAGTTAGGTATTTTGTTTAAGCTTTCTTTTCTTTTCACATTTCCTTTTCGTTTTGTTTTCATTTACATTTTAAATTATATGCAAAAAAATATATAAACACTTTCTTGAGATCAAACTTAACGATACTTTGCAAGCTTTCAAAAATGTTGTTAAAAATTATTTATATGTATTATTATGTTTATGAAAAGAAAAGAAACGAGAATTTTGACAAACATATTTTCATGCAATTGAAGTGCTTTTTCCTTATTCTTTTTTTTTGTATATTATATTTTGGGGTATATGAAGGGGAGACTGTGGGTAGTTGTTGTATAACGGATTTACATTGGTTTTACTAGTGGCCAATCAATCAAATTTGATTGATTGATTGCTCCCTTCTCTCTCTCTCTCTCTCTTGCATTTGAATTCAATAAAGTTTGCATTTTGTTTTCATCTTCTTTTTTTACTTTTTAGTTTTTTTTTTTAGTTTTTAGTTTTGCTTTTTTAAACTTTTGTGTTGTTTAAACGCTATTTAAAATTACTTAATATACTAGAAGAGCGTAACTTGTTTTGCTTTGTTGTAGTTGGTAGTTGTTTGTTGTTGTATTGGTTGGTTGTTTACTTTACATGCGTTTTTACTTTTCAGTTGTTGTTGTTTTAGCAGTTGGTTTTCAATAGACGTGTCAGATTGTTTTTAATAGTCACATTTGTGTTTTTTGTGTGCAGATCAGAGGATGAATGCTTCCGTTTACTTAGACGGTGGCAATGACTATCAATAGATGGGCCAGTTCGGCAACACGATTTTTGAGATCGGGCGCAGCACGCTCCAGATTCTCATTGGCAAAATCGCAGGCGGGGAATATGTGCACCACGTATGCTGCCTGATCACTTCCCGGCACAGGTATGTTCACAATTCCGGCGGCCATTTTTTGCTGCAGATATGTAATGAAGCCAGTCTGCAGATTACGCGAATGCTGCAAAACATCTGCATGATCGCGTCCACATGGCAACGCCAACAGCATACAGTGTTCTTTGTCCACCTGATTAAAACAATGATTAGTCATAAATTGATCTATATGGTATATTGTGTTAAGTGTACGCACCTGCATCTTCTTGGCCACGCCCTCCAGTTGCGTCTGTTCGAGTCGCATACGCTGCGCAATGCGCAATTGGGGCGTTGTGCTCTCGGCCATGCTGGGCAGCGAGGCGCGCGCCACGTTTGGATTGCCGTGCACAAAGTGCATCTGAACAGCCGCCTGATCGGTCTTTAAGGCCAGCAGGCCTTGCCACATGACCGGATAGCGTTGCAGCAGTGTGACCAGTGAGTCACCCGGCGGTGGTGCCATAGCGGCTGGTGGTGGCTGCGCAGGCAGCTCCATGCCGCCGTGCATAACAGAGGCGGACAGATGTTCCTGCTGTTGTTTGGCTGTAGTGAAGCATAGAAAGACGAAGTGAGTCTTGAGTGTATATAAGTTGTTTGGTCATCGAATACTTACCAACTGCTGCTACCATGGACAGGCGCTCGTTCTCCCTTTCGCGTTCACGCTGCTCACGCTCACGCTCCAACAACTTGGCTTGGCTGGGATGTAGACTATGTGGAGCTGGCTGCACGGACACCGAGACAGAGGCACCGCCACTGATATACGGACTGCCGCTAGCAACGCTAGGCGGTGGTGGCACCACCACACTTATCGAGGCAGCCGCACGATGTGCTGGCGGTGGCTCTAGCTGCATGCCTCCACTCTCATAGTAGCCGCCACGTGTGGCCATCTCGCTGAAGTGGGCGTGCGGTATGCGAGCATTGTGCACATAGACTTGGGCCATTTGCGGGGAGTCTGTAAAGGCGTAAGCATAAATTAGTAATGGAAGCTATAAATATATATATGTATAGTGACGTACCCGCTGCGGTGCGATCCTGTGGACTTTGAAGACTGTGCGGCACGGCTATGGTGCGTGGTGGCCCACTGCCTGGACGACGCAACTCCAATGGCGGACTGCTGCTGATTATCTTATCATCATAGTCTCCGCTGCGCATCATGTGATGCTGATATAGCATTGCAGTCATACCACGATAAGCCGTATCGTTCTGCAAGCGAAAGTTATCAAAGAGATATTTAGGATTAGTAAATGCTATGATCCAGGACTAAGCAAAAAATAAGTCAACTAATTTCATATTGCTTGGGGTCTCTGTTGGGTTACGCTACTTTAAAGTTCCGCATGTAAAACTTGTGCATTACCGGTGTTATGGGCGATGCCTGCTGATGCGCTGGCGGTGGACTCTGTGTGCGCCGACCGCTGACATAAGCACCCAAATCATGCTGCGTCCATTCAAGCAAAGTATTAGCAAAATGTTAGTAAATTAAGTTAGCACCATAAATGCTTAATTTATAGTTTTAGTATGTAGATTTAGTATGTCATTATTGTTGGAGAGTCTTTAGTATAATTAACAAACATAAAGTGATGACGATGCCTTGCTTACACTTCGCTTGTTAATTATATTATTGATACTGTTTAAGCTTAAAGAACCATTTATATATATATATAAACCATGCTTACCAGGCTGGCATCGAAGGGTGGCACGCCTGGCATGCCTGGCGGCAATACCAGCGGCGAGACGCGGGGCTGTCCTTGCGGACTGATGTTTGGTATGGCCGTACGCAAAACTGTAAGCGAACGAATTGGATAAGTTAAGCAAGAATTCTTTTAGTCTTAGCCAGTGGCATTTCTTAGCTTACCTGCTGCCGTGTTCGGTTGTTGCTGCCCTGGTTTCATTGGTGGCGGACTGCCCACGCTGCCGGGCAACATTTGGCTCACGGCCTGTAGGCTGTGCACCACTGAAATGGGCTTGTTTGGTGGTGGCGACGGTGTCAGTTGATGTTGTTGCGGCTGCAAATGCACCGCTGGCTTGGGCTGCAACAGCAAACTAGCATGTGCGGGCAACAACAGATTGTGCGGTGGCATTTGCACCACTGGCTGCGCGGTCTTCTGCTTGTACAGTTGCTGTGGTTGTTGCTGCTGCTGTTGTTGTTGTGCTGGCGCTTGCTGAGCATAGCCAAAGTTCTGTTTCGCCAACAACTGCGGCGGTTGTTGCTGTTGTTGTGTGGGGGGCAACACTGAAGCCTTCGAGCTAACCACATGCAGTATTTGTGGATGCACAGTTGGTGTTGTTGCTGTGGCCTGCTTGATGACCAGCGTCTGTTGCTGCTGCTGCTGCTGCTGTTGAGGTCCATTTGGTGGCTGCTGCTGCTGCTGCTGCGCATGCTGTGCTGCTGTAATGCGCGGCGAGTGTGGCGAATGCGCTGTTGGCGGTGGTATATTGACCAACAAATGTTGTTGCTGTTGTCCCTGCTGTTGCTGCGCCTGTTGCTGTTGGCCGAGCATGTGACGCGCTATCAGATTTGGCTGCAACAGTTGTTGATTGCCCGCAGCATCTGTGAGCAACATATGACCTGGATGTGGTGGCTGCTGATGCTGTTTGTTGGGCGTCAATTGCTGCTGCTGCTGTTGTTGTTGCTGCTGCTGCTGTTGTTGCAGATTTTTCTCGCGATTGAGCACGTGCGCTTTCAGTGGTTGCGGTGGACGCACCGTTGTGTGCTGTGCGTGCTGCAACACAGTTGTCATCACCAGCGGCTGCTTATTGGCTTGAACATGTTGCTGTTGTTGTTGTTGTAGTTGCTGCGGGGGTAGCTGCTGCAGCTGCTGCTGTTGTTGTTGTTGTTGTTGTTGCTGCTGCTGCAGTATGATCTGTGTGGGTTGTGCAGGCGTGGCATTACTCTTCACTAGCACACTGACCGGTTTGTTGAGCAATGTTGCTGCTGCCTCTTGCACTTGCAACTGCACGGGCTTGCTCAGTGTTGTTATGGGCGTGGCAGGCGCTATGACCGTGGCGCTGATTTGCAGTTGCTGCTGTTGTTGTTGCTGCTGCATTTGCTGTTGCTGCTGCTGATGTTGCTGTTGCTGCTGCTGCAGTGGCGCTACCTCATTGCTGCTGTTGGCAGGTGCCGCTGCATTGGCAGCCGGCAAATTGCCCTCCTTGCCCTGCGGCATGCCCGCCGTAATGACGCCCGTAACCGGATCAATTAGAGCTTTGCTAACCGCATCTGCGGCGCCGCCTGTGATCTTCTGTGTGGCCGCCGGTGCGGCGGTTTGATGCATGGGCGGCATAGACGAATTGATGGCCTGGTAGGATTCAATTTCGGCTGCTGCAATCGCCTTCTTCTTAGGATGCTGCGGCGTTGGCTTCGATAGCACAACAGGTGGCAGTGGCAGTGGCACTGGCAGTGGCACTGGCACTGGCTCTGTAGCTGCTGGTGCGATTGCCTGCACGGGTGGAGCTGGCGGTGTTTCCTTAACCTCCGGCACATGGGTAATGTGTGAAGCAGCTGGCTGTTGTGGTTGCTGTTGCTGCACCTGTTGCTGTTGCTGTTGCATAGGCACTGGCGGTTCAACAACAACAGCTGCTGGTGTTGTTGCTGGAGCTGGCACTGCTGCTGGTGCTGCCACGGGCGGTGGCAGCAAGAGTGGCTGCGGTTCCTCTTGCAAGCCAGCTGGTGGCTCACAAATGGTTTTGCGTTCCTTGGAGCGTCGAGGTCTGCCCACAGCATTGGGCGTTTGTACAGCATCTGTCTTCTTAGCCTGGGCATGGCGACCAGAGCGTCGAGGTGGCGTTTGTGCACCCTTGGGCAATTGTTGCTGCTGCGGTTGCTGTTGCTGTTGCAATTGCTGCTGAAGTTGCTGCTGCTGTTGTGTATTGGTGTTGCGCACTACATCCTCGATAATGTCGTCCACAGTGCTGCGATCCTCCTTCTCTTGCAGACGCCGCGACTTGCGCGTATTGCACGACTCCGAGCTGTCCGTGTTGTGTTCCAGCTGCGGTTGTTGCTGCTGCTGCTGCTGCTGTTGTGGCTGCGGCGCCTCCGCTGGAGTCTCCAGTTCGCTGCTATTCTTCAGCTTGTTGATGGTCAGTATGAGCCGTGGTCGTGTGTCATCAGCTGCAGCTGCTGCCGCTGTGACAGCAACTGGAGCTGCCTTTACCTTTGGCTCTGCATCGCCAACGTCGTCATGGAACTCGTAAATATCCTGACTAGAGCCGCTGGCTTGCGTCAATGCCTGGTTTCTGGCCTTCTTCTCAGCGGCTGTGGGCACAGGCATTGTCACCACTGCAGGCGTAACGAGCTCCTTCTGCTGCTGTGTAAGCTGCTGCTGCTGCTGCTGCTGCTGCTGTGCCAGCTGCTGCTGCTGCAGCTGCTGCTGCTGTAGCAACAAATTACGCGGCGGTCTACCCTTGCGTCCGCGCGTCACTGGCGCCGTTACGGGTTTGCGCAGACGTGTATGCATGCCATTGTCGCCCGGCGACAGTAACGGACTTGGCTCCGTGCTGGCTGGTGGCAATACGACAGCCTGTTTGGCCTTGGCGCCGCGTGGCTGACGTCCACGCTTGGCAGTAGTTCCACGCGAGCTTGGCGGTCGACCCAGTTGCTTTAGAGCTTTCACTGTCAGCTGACGCGTCTCGGTTTCATCCTCGGTATCATGATCATTGGAGCTCACATTGGCAGCAGCTGTTGCTGCAGCTGCTGTTGCTATTGCTGGCGGCTCAGTGGCCAATGCAGGCGTTGCCTCAGCTGTGGGCAACTCAGCTGCAGCTGGTTGCTGTTGTTGTGGTTGCTGCTGCTGCTGCTGCTGCAATTGTGTTGCTGCTCGTTTGCTGTGATTGTCCTCCTTGATGGCGGCTGCTGCTGCTGCTGCAGCTGCTGTCGCCGGATCAAGCTTCTTGATGACGCTATCAATGTTCACCTCCTTGGCAGACCAGTAGTCGCTGTCCACCTCCTTCGAGTCCTGCTCGATTAGCTCATCCTGCTTGGGCTGCGAGATCTTGATTACATTCTCCTCGGTCAGCAGTGAAGCAGCTGCTGCAGCTGCTGCCGCCGCTGCTGCTGCAACCTTTGTTGCCTGCGGAGAGTTGGCCAGGCTTATGGTGGGCGTGGGCGTACGTATTACAGAAACACTCTCCGACGTCTTTAACGGCAACGCGGCTGCTTCTACAGCGGCCGCCGTCTCTTTAGGTGGCGGCGGATAGTGTAAAGATGCTGTTGGCGCAGGCACAATTTGCTGTTGCACAATAATTTTCTGTGCTGGCGCGCTTTGTATAACATTAAGCGATTGCTGTTGTTGTTGTTGTTGTTGCTGCTGCTGTGGCTGCTGTTGGTGTTGCTGTTGCTGTTGCTGTTGTGCGGGCGCACGCACCAGTATTGCTGCGGGATGCAGTTGCTGCTGTTGCTGCGCCTGTGGACTATGCGAGCTGTGTGCGCTTGGATTGATGCCAGTTGGGCTCAGCTGTTGTTGCACGTTGCGTGGCAACTGCTGCTGCTGCTGTTGTTGCTGTTGCTGTGCAAACACAGGCGGCTGCGGTGTCAAGTGCGTCAGCGGCTGTTGCTGATGCGCTGTGTGCAATTGTTGTTGTAGTTTTTGTATGTGTAGCTGTTGCTGTTGTTGTTGTTGTTGCTGTTGTTGCATTTGCTGCTGGTGTTGGTGTTGCAGCTGCTGTTGATGTTGCTGCTGTTGCGCCTGATATTGCTGCCGTGCTTGATGTTGTTGATGCTGCTGCTGCTGCTGCTGTTGCATAGGATGAGCATGATGTTGACCCGGTGACAACGGCGGATGTTGCATTTGCTGTTGCAAGTGTTGCTGTTGCGGGTGTGCCTGCTGCTGCTGCTGCTGTTGCGGCTGCTGTTGCTGATGCATCTGTTGATGCTGTTGCGGCACATGCTGCTGCCGCTGTGGCTTGCGGTCTAACATTTGCTGCTGTTGTGCCTGCATGTACTTCTGCATATGTTGCTGATGCTGCTGCTGTTGATGCTGTTGTTGCTGCTGCTGCTGCTGCTGATGCACGTTCATCTTGGACAACATTTGTGGAGAAAGTTGTTGCTGCTGCTGCTGTTGTTGTTGCTGGGCATTTACATGCAAATTCTTGTGCGGCGGCAAGCTGCCCATGGGCGGCGAGCTAGCCACTTGCGTTTGTATTGCCTGCTGTGGCTGCACAGTAACCACTTTGCTAATGATTGTCGGGTGGTGCGACACGGGCAACGGCGGCATCTTCTGCAATGGCAATGGCAACAATTGTGGTCCCTGTCCAGCAGCAACTGCTACGCCCGCTTGCAGCTCAATGACAGACTTGGGCATGCTGCCGGGTGAAGGCTGCTGCTGGTGTTGCTGCTGCGGCTGCTGCTGTTGCTGTTGTTGTTGTTGCTGATGTAGCGGTGGGCGTGGAAGGTAACTGTTAGGTGTTGGCATTTTGCCACTGGTCGTGGGCGATGTTGTTGTTGTTGTTGTTGCAACTCCACGCGCTGTGGGACTAGGCAGCGGACTCATGTTCATATTGCTGTTACCTGTAGGCGAGGCCAAAAGCGGATGTTGCTGTTGCTGCTGTGCTGGCACTATGGGGCGAGCCGCAGGACTATGCTGGCGATTAGGCGCGCCACGTCCCGGCGACAACAGCGGACTATGCGGCGAGGGCGCACGCATGCCCATTAGATAGGCGCCAGGTGGTGCTTGCTGTTGGTGTTGTTGTTGTTGCTGCTGCTGCTGCTGTTGTTGTTGATGTTGGTGTTGCTGCTGCGGCGACAATATCAAGTGTGGCACCACAAAATGTGGCGCTTGATCCGGTATAGATATGGTAGGCGGCTGCATGATCAGCGACTGCGTGCGTTGCGGCAAGGTCTGATGTTGTTGCTGCTGCGATGTTGCTGGCGTTTGCTTGGGCGTGGAGGCCAGTGGCATGGTTTTCTGCGTAGTCGTTGGACTGCCAAAGGACAACGATGCCGAGCTGTTGCTGCTCGTGGTGCTGGAGCAATTGGCCATCACATTGGACAGATCCAAATTGATGACGGGCGTTACAGGTCGAGCAGCTGTTGCCACAGCAGCAGTTGATGTTGCAGCTGCTGCTGCTGCTGTTGTTGTTGCTGCTGATGATGATGGCGACACTGTCGGTGCTGGCAGCACCGTTTGAACTGGCTGCACCAGCGGCTGTTGCAGCTTGCTTATGGTGGGCGGCTCTATCTTCAGCAATTGCTGTGCATTCGACTTGGTTGGGGTGTTGCTAGTGCCGCTGCTGCTGTTGCTGTTGCTGGCATTGGGAAGGAGTGCTGCTGCAACTGCTGGCGGTACAGGCACTGTAATCGGCAGTTTGGTTATGACGGTGGGCTGCGGAGTTTCGACTGTCGGCCTGGAGCGTGCAGTGGACTCGCTGCTCAGCTCAGGCGACTTGTCAGCACCACTTGACGCTGACTTATCGGAGCCACTGTTCTGTGGCGCTGTCTCATCAATCTTGAGACTGGGCCCGCTGCTGTCCGCCTCGTCGGCATTCTCCTCGGTGTCTGTGTCGATTTGCAGATCGCGTTCGGATTGTGGCGTGTCCGCCTTGATGTCCATGTCCTCATTACGTAAGCTCTGCACAGCTTTGTTCACTTCTTCGGCATCGAGCACTACGCCCACAGAGACGACCACTGGCTCTGGTTCAGGCTCCGGATCGGGTTCCGGTTCTGTGGCAACCTCTTCGACAGCTGCCTCAATTGCCTTGGCCGCGAGTGCCGCCTCCTCATCGGGTTCGGCCACCACCACTTCCGTAACCGTTGCTGTCATGTCATCCATACCATCCAGCGAGTAGTCCGCCGTTGAGGATGTGCCAAAGCTTTCGCCGAGCAGCGCGGATACAGCGCTCTCAGTCTCCTCCTGTGAGATGGTAACTCGGGACTTGCTATCCTCAAGCTTGTCCAGCGTTTTGATGGCTCCAGGTGGCGAAGCCACTGGTATCTTAGGCTCATTGGCCAGCACATCGAGCAATGCACTATTCAACTCTGCCGAAATGGATTGCACCGCCGATTCGCTGATCTTGTAGTCCAGTTGCCCATCGAAGCCGGGTATGAACATCTCCTTCTTCTTGTTCAATGCTGCACTGGTGGGTGAGCTGCTCTCTACGGCGTTCTTCGACTCCACAGCAGCAGCAGCTGCTGTTGAGGATGTGGGTGTGGTGACCAGAGGAGCTGCGCCACTGCTGACAGGCGTTTCCGCCGACTGTGTGGACAACATGGAAGTGTTGCTCTGGCTGATGGTGGGCGTCTTTGGTATGGGACTGATCAAACGCGGCTTTTCACGCGCTGGGGAGAGAGTATCCGAGGAGTTCAAGCGGTTGCTGTTGCCGTTGCTGCTGCTAGCTGACGACGGCTTGACGACAGGCATCGGTATTGGTGGCTCCTCATCATCATCGTCGCCAATGAGGCACGGCAAACTGGGCGATGGCTTGCACAGCGGAGAACTGTGTTTCGACTCCTTCTCCAGCTGCTCCTCGGCATGCTTCGTGGCGGCCTGCACATTGATAGTCAGCGAGCTAACTGAAGAGCCGGTAGCGGCTGTTGGAGCAGCAACTGTTGCTGGCGGTAAGCAAGCTGATTCACGACGCAGCTGCAATTGTTGCTGCTGCTGTTGCTGCTGTTTATCGAGCTTCTCTTGTTTCTCCTCCTTGGAGCGTTTCTTCTTTTTCTTCTTGTCCTTGCTCTTGTGCACAGATTCCTTGGACTCCAACTGCTTATCGCTAGCGTGCGACTGCAGCTGCAACTGTTGTTGTTGCTGCTGCTCGACAGAATTATTGTCCTCGTTATCCGAGAAACGGAAAACATCCGTCATATCGCTGCGATAGGTGGTTGCTGTGGATGGCGTGGCATCTTCAGGCAGCTTATTGCTATCAAAGTCGTCCATAAGCTGCGCCTCCAGCGCACGTCCCGCCTCATCCATATCGACGCTGTTGTCGTCGTCCAGTTTGCTGGCACTTTGTTGCTGCTGTTGATGTTGTTGTTGCTGCTGCTGCTGCTGCTGTTGTTGTTGCTGCTGCTGCTGCTGCTGCTGTTGCTGCTTTGGTTCGCGCGCTGACTTTTCGCGTCGCTTTTTTTCGCGTTTCTCTTTGCGATGTCGCTCGCGCTCACTACGCTCCACTTCCAGCTCCTCATGCTGCAACTGTTGCAGCTGCTGTTGCTGTTGCTGCTGCTGTGTTGCCGGCTCCTTGCTGCTGCTGTTGAGGCTGAGGATTGGTGGCTCCTGCTTGTAGGTTTGCAGCGCAGCAGACACCATGGGTCCTGTGGTGGAGAGCTGTGCTTTGGCCGTGTCGGGCTGCTCGTCGGTCAGCTGGGATTCCTCCTCTTCCTCTTCCTCATCGGAGATAATACCAAAGATATCCTCCATTTTGTCCTCACTGCGTTTGGCAGAGTCTCGGGCCGGTGTGCTCACTGTGGTGGGTGTCGGTGGTGAGGCATTGGAGGCATTGACATTGTACAAGCGAGCAGAGGTGTCCAAACTCTTGGACTTCTTCGACTTTTTCAGTCGATGTCGCTCCTCCTTGGACAGCTTTTCGCTCAGTTGCTCCACAGAGCCGCCAGCATTGGTATCGCTCATGTTGCGCAACTTCTCGCGTTTCTTCTCCTTGCGCTCCTTGTGCTTACGTCTCTCGCTGGCTGCCACCGAGGTTGTATTTGCCTCCAGAGCAGTCGCGATTGTCGCCGGTTCCGTCTTCAACTCGTCGAAGCTATCGAATTTATTGGGTTTGCAATCGGTCACATCGAAAATGCTGCTTGTTGGGGCAGGCGCAGGCGCCACAGTTGTGGAGCTACTCTCGGCTGAGGATTTGAGGCGCTTCTTGCTCTTCTTGTGCTTCTTGCGCGTCTCCGGGGAGTACTCCTTGATCTTGGCCGAGCTGCTGTCGCCCACATAGTTCGTGTAGCTGGTATTGAAGTACTCGTTATACTCCTTCTTGAAGTCTGTCTTTATCTTGCGCTCCTCGTTGGAGGAGTGCGAGTTGTGACGCGATTTGGAATACTTTATTTCATTGTCGGAGATCTGCTCCTGCTTGATGTCTGGCTCCTGTTTGATGTTGCTGTTGATCAGTTCCGGTGCTGGCTGCGATTGCGATTCCGAATCGGAGGCAATGCGCGTCGAATGGCAATTCCGTTTGCCCGCTTGGCTGATCACATTGCGACGAATCTCATCCTCGGAGCTATCATCGCCATCGCACAGACGGCGTAGATTCTGTTGCATTTGCTGGCGCATGCGACTGGCATTGAGATCTTCAGTCTCCGCATCCACTTCGCCATCTGCATCCGAATCGGAGAAGATGCGACTGTGCAACATTTTGCGAAAGCCATCAGCATCGTCCATATCATCATCGCTGCTGCTCAGACCACCATGATTGCGTCCATGGAAGCTGCTGCTGCCGCTGTTCCGATGATGCATTCGATCCTCGAACTCAGTGTCGCTGTCGCCGTCGTAGCTGGTGGAGCGCTTCTTTTTGGCGCGCGACTGCTTCAGCTGCGAGAACTTGGCCTTGATCTTCTTCTCCTCGGCTTGGCGCTGCATATTTTTGCAGCTGCGTGCTTTCACTTTATCGTACATGGACACATTGGGGCAGTCGTCGGGTATATCGAAGATGGAATGCTTCTTGGACGCATCATCTGTGTCATCCGAGTCGGCTGAGCTGAGCATCATCTTGCGTGGCTGCGAGGCGCTCTTCGAGGAGGCGCCGCCTTCATCCGAGCCACGTGACGATTTGCGGTCCACGCTGCGACGATGATGATGATGATGATGCGATTGCTGCTGCTGCGGTTGTTGTTGTTGTTGATGCTGTTGCTGCTGCTGCTGCTGATGGTGTTGCTGCAACTTGCTGCTGGGCGTATTTGTGTTCGAGCTGAGCTCGCCTGCAGAGCTGCCAGCTGCTGAGATGCGTCTGTGCGGATTGTGCGTGGGCTCCTCGTCCGTATTGGTGGACTCGGCTACCGAATGCCGCTTCTTCTCGCGATGATGATGATGATCACGTTTGCTTTTGTGCCGCGACGAGGACGAGGAGCTGCCATGGTGATGATGTTCACGTTGCTGCTTATGCAGCGACTGTTGCTGCGCTTGCTGCGACTGCTGTTGTTGCTGCTGCTGCGACTGCGAGCTCTGCTGTTGCTCCTCTTCGCTGGTGTTGAGCGTGTGCAACTGTTGCTGTTGCTGCTGCTGCTGCTGCTGCTTGGTATCCAATTCGGTATTGTTGATCTCGCTACTGCTGGCGCTTTTGCTGTGATGCTTGTCACGGCGATGATGCTTGGAGCTGCTGTTGCTGCTGCTATTGCCATGCGACTTGGACGAACTGTTCTTGTCGTCCTTGCAGCCGCCGCTGCTGCTGCTGCTTTTGTGCTCCTTCGAGTCGCGACGATCGCTGAGGCGCTGATGCTGATTGCTCGTATTGCTGTTCGGGTTCTCCATGCGTATGCGCTTCACATAATCCTCGTGATTCTGTCCAGCACCACCGACGCCGCTGCTGTGGTTGCTGTCCTGCGAGCTGAGGCGTCGCTTGTGCTGGCGTCCGCTGCTGGGCACCGGCGAGTTGCGTGACGATTTGCGTGAGCGATCCTTGTTGCTGTTGCTTTCAGCTGCCACTGTGCCAGCAACAGTTGATGCTGCTGCTGCTGCTGTTGTTGCTGTATCTGTGGCAGCCGCATTTTCCTTATTGTTCTCACTGGGCGTGGCTGCATTGAGGGCGTAGAAGCTGCTCGCCTCGGAACTGGCCTCAGACTTGTTTTTGTGATAGGCGCACATGTCGCGCATGCGTGAATGACGCGCCTCCTGCTCGCGTTGCTCCTTGTCGCGTTGCTCCTTGTCGCGCTGCTCCTTGTCGCGTTGCTCGCGCTCACGCTCCTCGCGCTCCTTTTGCTCACGCTCCTCTTGCGCTTTTCTTTCACGCTCACGCTCACGCTCACGTTCCTTTTCACGTTCGCGCTCCCGCTCCTTTTCCTTTTCTTCTTTGGCCTTGCGCTCTTCGCGCTCTCGTTCCTCTTGCGCTTTGCGTTCCTTTTCTTCGCGCTCTTGTTGCTTGCGCAGTTCCTTCTCACGTTTATCACGCTCCTGCCTCTCCTTATGCTGCGCTTTCTCCCTTTCCTTCTCCTTGTCGCGCTCCAGACGCTGCTGCGGCTGCGGCTGCGGCTGCTCCTTGTCCGGCTTCTCAGCTGGCTCATCTGACTCGCTGGTGTCATCCTCCACTTTGGGCGTTGCCGACTTGGAGGATTGCGAGGTTGCCGAGTTTTTACGCTTCTCGGAGCTAGTTGTATTTGAGGAGGATGAGGAGGAGGAGGACTTCTTGGACTTCTTTTCCGAATCGGAACGATTATTGTGTTTGCTGCTATGCGACTTGTCGCTGCTGCTGCTCTTCTTGGACGCAGAGGAGCTCGAGGCTGTTGCTGCACTAGAGCTGGAGCTCTTGGCATTGCCCTTGGACTCCACTTCATCCAGTGAATTGTTTGGCGTTTGCTTTTGTACGTGTGTGGCTGTTGCTGTTGAGGAACTGTTACCGTTGGAGGATGCACTGCCGCCGCTACTGCTGCTGCTCCCAGTCGTGCCCACATTCGTGCTGCCCGGCACCGAGGCGGACTTCTGCAGCACAGATCGCGCCTCTGTCGTTGCCGCTGGCACACTGAGGCTCTTGCTGAGCTGTTGATTGGCCGCAGAGGAGGTGGTTGGCTTTGCTTTGGGCACCTCTGGTGGCGGTGGCGGCGCTGGCTGTATCGCCGGCGGCGGTGCAGCGGTATTTGGTAATGGCGGGTGACTGGGAAATGGATACTGCAAACCCTTGGTGGCAGCGGCTGTTGCTGCCGCTGCTGCTGCCGTTGCTGTTGCTGCTGCAGTGGTTGCTGCTGCTGCTGTTGCACTGCTGGTGTTGCAGCTGCTGCTTAAGCTGGGCTTGGCCAACTGAACTGCAACGACAGAGGGCGACGGCGACGGACTGTTGTAGGGCGACATCGAAGCTTGCGGCGAGTTCATGGGCGACAAACTGCTTAAACGCTGCAGCAGACCGCTCGTCTTGCAGCTGCTACTGCTGGTGCTGTTGCCGCCTAGATTACTGCTGCTGCTGCTGCAGTTGGCTATGATGGGCGTCGTCTTAGTGGCCGCCAGATTGGGCAAAGCTGGAGACGTATTGCCACTGCAAAGGCCACCGTGTCGGGCGTTCGCTGAGGTTGTGGAGCCTGTGCCAAAATCAGTGCTTGCCGGCTCGTACCATTGGTTCTTCTTGAGACGCTGAAAGTCATCGTCGAAGACGGACTTCTTGGCCAACAGCGATTTGACGATATCCGACGGCTGCAGCTCGTCAATGTCAAGAAACTTATGACGCGAGTTGCTCGTCGAACTGGAGACAGTGCCGCTGGAGCTGTTGCTGTTGCCGGAACCACCCTGATGCGACGAGCTGAGACCGCTGTAGTTCGTCGAATGCATCGACAGTTGCCACGAGGGCATCGTGTTCGACTGGCTGCTGTTGCTATGGCCATGACTGCCATGGCCATGGTTGGGATTGGTGCTGCTGCTGCCACCGGACCAGCGCTCGTAGTTCTCCTCAAAGTTGCGCAGCCGCTCATCTAACGACGGGCTGCCGCCTGTCTGGCCACTGGGTACATCCGAATCGCTTGAATTGGAGCTCAGCGAGCGAGGACGTGCCGGACTGGCCATCAGGCCAATAGATGAGGAGGATGACGAGGATTGTTGCAGCTGTTGCTGTTGCATTTGTTGCTGCTGCTGCTGCTGCTGTTGTTGCTGCTGCTGCTGCTGTTGCTGCTGCTGCTGCTGATGGTGATGGTGGTGCTGGTGATGATGATGATTGGAGGAGCGCCAATAACGTAACGTGGGAGAGGGCAGAAACGATAAGCTGGACGCAGTCGCTGACGATGATGATGCTGAGGATGTCGTAGCAGCTCCTGCACTTAGACTAGAGTTGTTGTTGAGCAACGATGCTGTCGTCGTCAGCTGCTGCAGATAGCTGGACACGCCGCTGCCTGTGCCACTGCCACTGCTGCACACATTCCGCTGCTGTTGAAAGAAGAGCACACCAAATTTGGGCAATGGCAGCCACATTATTTCGCGCACACGCTCTCGTGTCCGTTCCCTGGGCGGCGGCAGACGACGCGGCTCTGTGGGCAGCACCTCTGGCCGTTCATCGCACAGCGGCGTGCCCGGCCGTGAGCCATCGGCGCTCTCACCGCCGCTCGCTTCGTGTGAGTGATGGGAATGTAGCTGATGGCCACGTCCACGCGACGCATGATGATGATAATCATCATTGGGCATAGGCGCTGCCAGCGTCGGAGTTGGCAATCCAGAGCTGTTGCTGCTGCTGTTGGTGTTGGCGGCGGAGGAGGATGAGGACGACAACAACATCGACGACGACGACGACGACGATGACGACTGCTGCGGTTGCAGCGGCTGCGGCTGTGATAGCTGCAGCGTGCTAGCTGTAACGCGACGTCGTTTCGCTGCCAGCGATGCATTCATCAGATGCTGCTGATCCATGCTGCTGGCGCCGACCAGGCCATGGCGAAAGGCCGATGAGTTCGACAGCGCTGACAAGGCGCCAACATCAATCGATGGCCGTCGACTGCTGAGCATCATGTTGTGGTGTTGTGTGGGCGGTGGTGCAATCGCTGCAAACTTATTCGCCTCGGAGACGCGGCGAATTTCGCTTTTGCGATTTAGAGGATCATGTATTACATCACAGTTGGACAGCGGACTGGGCTTGTTGTTGTTGTTGTTGCTATGACCAGACGCCAATGAGTCGCTATTCTGATCCAGCATCTGCAATTGCTGAGACAGGAAGACAGCAATTTGGTTACATTCATATTTTATGGAGTTCAACTATTGTCTCGACTTACCGCACTGGCATTGGAATGATGATGATGATGGTAATCCATTTTGATGCGCTTGCGCGGACTGACCACGCCCTCATCACCACTGGACGGGCATTCGTCAGCTTGTTGTTGTTCTGGTAAATGGAAACGTGGATTGTGCACTTGATGGCGCAAATCTACAGATGTCTTACCACAACGCCGACGACTGTTGTTGCCGCTGTTGTTCAGCGTCACCTCGAGCGTATCGCTGATTGGATTGCCACTCCCACTCCCACTCCCACTCCCACTGGCGCTGCTATTGACAGCGGGTCCGAGTCGTGCAATAACAGGCGAATCGGAGCGTACAGCCACGCTCGCATCCTCGTCCTGCAACTGATTGTTCCCACTGGCGCCGTTGTTGTTGCCCGAGTGTTCGTCAAAGTTGCGAAACCGTCGACCCACATCGTTGAAATCAAAGTCAATGGTGTGCCTAGCATTGCGCGCCATACGCATACGCGCCTGCACCATCGCCGCCGGCGACATGGGCATAGCATTCTGTGAGCAACCCACAGCCGAGGGCAACGCTGTGGTTGCTCCTCCACTGTTGCTGCTCACCACCGCCGAGGCAAGACTGGGCGCTGGCATTGCATTGCTGGCCGAGATGTTGCTGCTGTTGCTGCCGCTGGTGGTGGCAGTGCTGCCGCCCGGCGTATTGCTGCCCGGGGAGCAGCCATCGTTCGAGTTCTGATGCCGACTGAAGGAGGAGGCGCGCGAACGTGACTGTGATGACTCGTAGCGATTAAAGCGCGAGGAGGCAGAGGCTAAACGTAAGAGATGTAGCAACAATTAGAATGCTTACGAATGTCTCTAGTTAAGTTAAGCTTAAGCTTAAACCACTTACCCGCATTGGGCTGCTGCGTCTGTTGTTGTTGCTGCGTTTGAGGTTGTAGCGGCTGCTGCTGCTGCTGCTGTGGCTGTTGTTGCTGCTGCTGCTGCTGTTGTTGCTGCTGCTGCTGCTGCTGTTGCTGCTGCTTCTCCTGCTTGTCATAGAACGCATCCTGGCATTCACGCGATGCAAAGTCTACTTGAAGCTTCCGTCCACGCATTATCGTGCCACGCATATCCTTGACAGCGGCTTGAGCATTCTGCACCTGATCGTACAGCACCAAAGCCAATTGTCGTATACGATCGATGCTGACCTTGGTAACAGTGCCGAAGCGCGTGAATTGCGATTGCAAAAACGACTCGGACACCTTCTCGCCGACGCCATCGATCCATACGCAATTCGTTGGCATCGATTTGCCAAAGCCAAGCTTGATCCGATTGCTGCCCAAATGCTCGCCATCCATTTTACGCATTGCCTTCACCACAGATACGATATCCGAATACTGACAGAAGGCATAGGCATTGAGTCCTTGCTTCTTGATGTCGATCTCGATGATCTCGCCAAAGCTTTCGAAATGTACACGCAGCTCACTGGCTGTAATATCCTTTTCCAGATTGCCAATGAATAGCGTTCGTGTGGATTTCGGATGATATTCATCCAGTTCAGCTTCATAGGGACGAAACTCATTGTCCTCCACATCGTAGCCCTGATACGGTTCCACTTCAATTTTACAGCCAAAGAAATGTTTATCATGGGACACTTCGAGTGCCTTTTCCACATCGTCCGGTTTCTTAAAGCAGACGAGCGCATAACGTTCCGAATTTTGTCCCACGACCTTGACCCACGTGACTTTGCCATGCTTTTTGTACTCGTGAAAGAGACCATCCTTAAGGGATGTGTCCGAGGAACGGGCGGGCAGGTTACGAACGCGTATCGCCAACGGACGATTATCTTCGGAATGAACCACCGGATTGGCGGTCAAACAGGAGCTGCTGCTGCTACTAGAACTGCTGCTGCTGCTGCTGCTGGAGCCACAGCCACCGCCACCGCCGCCGCCTGCATTGCCACTGGGATTTGAAGAGTTGCCTAAGATAAATTTAAAGTTGAGTCAATCGGTTCGAGATCAATGCTTTGTCTACTTACTGCCAACTGTCACACAGGACTGCAAATTGCGTGAACTGCGATGCGTTGCTGTTGCAAAGCCACCGACACCAACGATTGCATCGGCACAATTGCCCGATATCGGGCTGGACGCGTGCGAATGCGACGATGTGTGCGATGAGGCCGATGATGAGCTGTGCGAGCTGCTATAGCTGCTCGGCGAACGTGAATGGGAACGACTGGACGACGTTGTGCTACGTCCATGCAAATGATGTCGCGGTGCTCGACCATCGTTCGCATTTTGTGTTGTCGCATTGCCATTGTCCACGACGGCGGCCAGTGCAGCAGCGGCAACATTTAAAATGTCGCCACTGTTGCTGTTGCTGTTGCCACTAGAAGATGTTGCTGCTGTTGCTGCTGTTGCAATTGGCATCGTTGGAGTGGCCGTGTTTATTGTATTATTTAAACTATTACTACTAAAACTATTGTTTGTGATTGTACTTGTCGTCGCTGCTGTTGCTGCTGCTGCTGCTGCTGCGGCTGCACCACTCAAAGGCGACTCTGAGCCGCAGCGCGCTGTTGCCGCCGTTTTGAGCAGCTTATTTAGTTTGCTGACACCACCAGCAGCGGGACTTCTGCTGCTGCTGCCACTGCCGCTGCTGCTGTTGTTATTGTTGTTGTGGTGCAGGTGAATTTTGCGGGCAGAATTTAAAGTGGTTGTTGCTGCCGCTTCATCCGCAGCACTGCCCGCATACGCAACACTCCGGTGCATGGCCGTCGTAATAGACGCCGCTGCTGCTGCTGCTGCGGCTGCCGCCGCTGCTGCTGCTATCGTATGCGAGTGGGCGGGTGATGAATACGAGGCGGATGTGTTGTTGTAGTGATGATGCTGATGTGGATGTGGATGTGAGTGATGATTGATCGGTGAGCTCATTATGCTGCCAGCTGCTGAGACGCCGGCATTGCCACTGCCACCAGGACTTTTTAGATGCGCTGTCGCAGTAGCCGCAGCTTCGTACCATGACTGCGGTACGCGTGTGTTTTGGTTAATGATGTTGTTGTTGTTGCTCCGATCACCCAATGGTGGCCCACCACCACCACCAAATCCGCCCACTCCAAATCCGACACCACCACTGCTGGCAGCTCCTGCTCCTGCTGCTGTTGTCGCCGTTGCTGCTCCAGCTGCAACTGCAACCGCGCCCACTCCCGCTGCAGCTGCTGCTGTTGCTGCTGTCGTTGTCGTCGTGTTGCTGTTGCTGCTTGTAGCTGACGCACCAACTGCTGCTGCTGCTGCTGCTGCGGCTGCTGCTGAACCATTCCTGTAAAGACGATCTCGAGCACGCGACCTATCGCTGCTGCTGTTGCTGTTGCTGTTGCTATTACTGTTGTTGCTATTAGTGTTGTTGTTGCTGCTGGCAGTTGTCGCTACTGCTGCTGCTGCTGCTGCGTTGTTAGCTTGATAGACTAAGCGGCTGCGATCGTAATAGTTCCTTTCGAAGCTGTTTGCCGGTGGTTCCTCTGTAGACCTGCAATAACAGAAAAAAATCGTTGAAAATGGATAAGCAAAACAGTTGACAACTTGCGTATAATGTTTATTGTTATTCTTAAACGCTATTCTCAGCGCGAAGTAGTATATTAGTGGAATGACTGTTATTCAAGCTAGAGACATGAAACGTGGAGGAATATATGTGAATGTATATACGCGTGTCTATTTCAATCTTTATTTATATATTATTGCATAAAGTAAATATAAGTATAAGTTTATGGCAACAGCTAAAATTTGATATGAGCAGTTTTAGAGTCTCTGTTGAGCTTCTCCAATGACCTGTCTAAACAGTTGTAGAAGCACTAATCACAATCTCTTACACACATGTACAGTTTGAAAGTAATTGTTTGGCAAATACAGCGCGTGTGAGCGAGATAGCCAGCTATTGACCTACTCTAAAGATTAAGCTAAAACAGTTTTGCAGCCCATCACCGTTTGACAGCCATTGTATTTATATTTACACCAAAAAACAAAACATTTTATACAAGAACCGTTTTTATAGCGATAGCCTATTGTGTTGACCTACTCTAACCAACTAGCAAAACGGTTTCACAATCGTTTCAGTCACCGTTTGACAGTCACTGATTTTTGCATTTACAGTATAAAAGTCACAAATCCAGCAAAGCAAACGTTTCTTCCAGCAATTTTGTAACACTGTAAACCAAATATAGCGTATTCTGTAATTGCTTTTGTTATGTTATATATATATACATATATTAATATATACAGTACTTATAAAGTAACTAGCACCACCACCCACAAGCACATACACACACACACCTCCGCATAATAGTTTTTATACAAAAAACCTTGTCAATTTGCGGCGACTGCTGCTGGAGCTGTTACTACAGCTGCTGTAGGGAAAGAAGGGTATCCGTTTAAGGATCGGCTTTTGCTTAGCAGCGCCAAATGGGCGCCTTTTGTTTTCTAACATGGGCGCAAACAGACTCAAGCCAATTGTATTTTAAAAATATGTATATGCAATGTGATTTCTTCAACAAAAAATATATAAAACAAACACACACGCGAGCAAAAATTTCACCGGCGAAAAAATTATATATATAAAAGAAAGAAACGGCGCCAAATTTTTAACGTCTGCCGACGTCGTCGTCGTCTGTTTACGCGGCAGAACTTTTTTCTTTTATTTTTTATATTTTATTTGCGAACACACAAACGCACGCACACACATAAACAAGAGCTGGAGCTGGAGCTGTAGCTGTAGCCGGTGCCTGGGCAGTAGAGAGCGCAAAGCAAAAGAAAAAAAAAAAACAAAACCGGTTTCTTCTTAATATTCACACACACTTGCACATACACACAGTTTTTGTTGTTATTTGTTTGCTAAAGAAAATTTATTATTACATCTATTTTTAATATTTCTTTTTATTTTTCGGCTTTTATTTTATACAGTTTCGTTGATCGCGTTGTCGCTTCTTACTAATTCCGTTTTCATGCCGATATTCGCGTAACCAAACACGAGCAGCGGTCGCTGCAGAGTGTTGCCAGATAGTTACGCGCGTGCGAGCAGAGCTGCCAAGCTGTGTCAGGTTCTTTAACAGGACCAACTGAGTAAAAAACGTATTGAAACTGGTGGAAAATTGACTAAAATATACAAATAATATATTGATAGTTAACAAATTCAATTACTGCTCAATGCTGCAACTACCAACAGCTAATGGCCACGCTATTCTTCAGGCAGGCTATAACAGACAGCTGTTACTAACAGTGCCAGCAAGCAAATGTTTGTTTATGCTATAGCACGCTGTTACGATTAGGGTGGACACAAACAAAGGAAAATGGAACGACGCAATACTCAGGTAAAAACTTGGTATTTTCGCGCTACCTGGCATGAAAAATCAACCCCAACCATAAATTAACATGCGACGCAAAAAGGCACCGAAGAGGAGTAAAGCAAATGACAGGCCTATTTTCTATTCTATCCAACAAGGGAAAATACAGGCGCGACGACCTTTAGCTAAATGTTCACGACATTCCTTTGACGCGAAGAAGAGGAAGAAAAATCGTTTTCGAACTATGCTAAGGGCACGTTATTAGTTATTAGAAATGACAGGAATCTATATACCATTTCGACACACATATATAGATATAACAAGGTTATGTATATGTATCTTAGGCATATCTATAGGAAATCTGATAACGATCGAAGTTAACTTGATTTTGATATCATTTTAGATTAAAATTGTGTCCATAGAGTTACCTAAATGATATTAATTATAGATTTGGTATATATTTGACATATCAGAGTGCGAGTTGCCATAAAACAGATAGTTAAATAACATTCAGTGGATTCTCACTATAGATTCCAACAGATCTTCCATATGTATTCATATGAAAACTGCCCAAGTCTTTAATTCTAATGCTTGTTGAGAAATTTACAATATTTTTACTCTATAAATCCTTTAATCCTTAAACATTTCCAGCTTAAGTTAATGAAATTATATGAATATTTGTAAAATAGTCCAAAGTTTTAGGGAATACGTAAAGTGAGCTCATCTAGTTGTAGTTTGTACTAGACTGGAGCGCTATAGGTAGGTTAATAATATGTATCTTAACAAAATTTTGTAACGACTTAGGTATATTGATATAGAAAGCTATAATGCATCGCTCCATATATTAGAAGAAAAATCTATTTAATGGTAAAAGTTTCTGAAATGAATATATTTGTTAAATAATTCGAAAATATGGATATTACGTAAAGTGAGGTTTATAATTTTTTTTGGTGTTGAAATAGAGATCTTTATTCTCAAAATAAAGATCTTAAGAAGACTTTTATCATATTAGAGTTTGAAAAATAATGTCTAATGTATCTATCCCTATATGGATTCCTGCTATAGATAACTGTAGCTATGACTATAACTATATAGATAGCTCTAACTAAAATATCGAATTGAAGTGAGTGCCAAAAAGTTCCTACATAGCTGACTCAAGCCAGAATCCATACCGTTTATTGGTCCAACTTTACTTTCTATAAAGAAAAACCTGATATACGTATTTCTAGTCTAGCCAAGTCTAACTTTTTTTTTATTAAATTCTATGAATTCAGCTCACTTTACCAGTTTCAGTTAACAAAAATAAAAATAGAAAAAATTAATCAGAATTTTGCTTTAAACAATTTGATTTTGCGAATTGAAACTGAGGCAAATGAAAGGCAAAGCTTTACAATCATATGAGTGTGTGTGTGCGTGTGTGTGTATGTGTGTGCGTCTATCCCAGTCAGCTTTGATGAATTGAAGCCCCAATGCTCTGTCATTCGTTTGCCAAAAGATATTCTTTTTTTTTGTTTAAAGCCGCATTAAGCGCTTTAAGCGCCCGGAGAACAACGCAACGAGCCCAAAGCACTTAAAATATGGCCATGTAGCACATACACCCAGTATATATATACATATATATAGGTATATAAGCGTTATATGTATATAAGGTAATGCTGCAGTTTCCAGCGATGGCTGGAAATTATGTTGCTGGCTGTGGGTGGGCGCATGACTCAGGCATAAAAAACAACACTGAGCACATACATGTGTGTGTGTGTGTGTGTGTAGGGGCTGTATATGTGATGAGCAGCAATTGCATTTGCAAAGAGCGGCTCGCCATTTGCCCGGCATGCGCAGTGAGGCGCGGGCCCAAAAAATCAATTCAGCTAAAATTGCGCCCCGGTTAGGGAAGTGCAGAGAGTCAAACAGGAAAGCAAAAGCGACAACAGCAGCAACAGCAATGGCAACATTTGTTGCGCCAAACGGCAAAGAGAGCGAGCGACAGCTGAGAGAGAAAGAGAGAAAACGAGAAGTAACAGTAAACAACAGCAGCAATCGCAGCAGCAGTAGCAGTCGCTGTCGCAGTCAGCAGAGCAAAGTAATTGCGAGAGACAACGAGAGCTGGGCGAACACATTTTTCGGGCGTTTGGGCAAAGCTGTAAATTGCATTACTGCGACGTTCACTCTGGGTATGTGTGTGTGCTTGATTATGTATGCTGCTCTTATGTAATATATATACACATATATATAGTAAATGGACGCCGCCCACAAATTGAGCCTGGGCGAAATGTTTTTCGCACACAGCAAACGTCCTTGTTTGAGGTTATATCTGTATATATGTGCTATCCATGTGTTCGTGTGTGTGCTTGAGCGTGTAACTTTTTTGCAAGTTGAAATTCCTGAAATCCCCTTTTAGCCTTTCATTCAATCATTGCCGGGGCAGACATTGCAACCCAACCCAACCCAGCCCAACCCTTTTGAGCATCAAATACGTGAATTTTCGCACTGCAGTCAAAGGTAATTTTAAGGGATTCTGCCACAGCGAAAATTTATCAACATACGAGGTAGCAGCAGTCGCAGTAGCAGTAGCTGCTGATGCTGGCAAGTTGAAGGACACGGGAATGACAGCTCACACACGCACACATACTAACATACTGCACGTATATGCACATGCATACATACATCTTACATGCATATGTGTGTGCATGTATGTGTATAGGTATTCATAAATATATTCACATACAAACATAGATGCATGCTCTTGCATGCACACATACACACATACAGTACACACCCATATGTGTCTGTATATGCACACATGCACACAGACATCTCACATGTAAACAAGCAAGGAATAACATAACACACACATACATATGTTATATTTGTGTGCATACATGTATATATATATATATCTAATATACATTATAATATGTTTCTTAATATAGTTGAGCTCAAGTTTATATCCACAAAATATGAAAGGCTCAATATAAAAGGTTTTATATAATAAAGTAAACGAAACTTCGCAGCAGAAGTTTCTGCTGCCTTGGAAAATGCTTGGGAAACATTTATAGGAAAAGAAGGAAAATTCAAAAATATATCTAGACAGATATATATTTTTCTGAATCAATATGCCTATTTTTGGTAGGATTTGGAAGCTACTTTACTGAGTCTTCTTATTTTTAAAAATTAATTAATTCATGTAATTTTCATC